TACCAATTTAAATAACGATGGACGGTTCTACGGCGAAGAGATTATTGGGATTGGCTGGAGACAAAAAAGTTGGTAAAGCGATTGGTCTAGAATGATATCCCACATTGTTGGCCTAGTTTTCTATCTCCATAACGGTATATGATCTACTCTTCAGCAAAGTAGGACAGTTGTTTTCGTTTTTCTTTTTCGCTTCTAGAGCTCACTAAGCTCATTGCTGATGGTGTGGAGTACGAGCACAGATGTTGGTACACAGTATATGTCAGATTGTGTAAATACCGATCACCAATAGATGCAATCTATCATATAGATGAGAAACGGTGACAGGTAGCCGAATAACCTTGTTTTGGCTTTCTTTCCGGCGTTCCGATGTCGAAGGGAGAACGTATCTAACCAGAATTCACCCAAGTCGCGAAGGTTGGGGAAGCAGTGGACCTATAGCAGCTGAAGATATTGGCTTGGCTCGTGAGCGGGAGAAGCCACGCGAGAAATTAGACCCAACTCTAACCGGTCCAGCCACCAATCCGTAAGAATATCAAACGTAACTAAATGCCGGTAGACATGGACTGCCGTTTCTAGAACTCTCCCGCCTGGTATGTGAGGACAAGGGGCTCAGAAAATATGGAAGTCTGAGCACTTCCACTGCAACGCGAGAAACACAGGATTGTGATCCATCATATGTTTGCAGGACATCTCATATACCATCTGACAGGTGTGCCCTGTCGAAAGGGCTGCCTTGGAAGGCAGTCCGTAGCATTAGCGGCAACGGGATACGAAACCTTACAGTGAAAAGCACTCCGCCTGGGATGTGGGGCTGCAGAAATGAAACATGGTGTGGACGAGGATCAATTGCTCCTTTAGGCAATAAAATACACATGGCTGGAAGGGTCATGTCATGTCTTTTAGCTTGGGATGTACCTCCTCCGTAAGACTAATAGCAAAAGCCAATAGCAATGGACTTACCCGGTCAACCTCGGGCTTGGGAGGCCTCAAACTTGCAGAAGACGCCCTACGCGGAGTATATTAATTTAATATGAACACGGGAGAGATTGGGAAGGTCTGCGTGGTGCACTAGGTAAGCACCGTTTATTTACTATCTCCATTTAGAGGGGAAGACATAAAATGCAAGGCGAGGAAGCCAGGCCAAACTGTATGGCACTGGATAGCCTTAATGTTGACCTCTGAGCCACAAATCGACTTCGAGTGAAGGCTGAGATAAGCTTTATGCATAGTGTATGAATCGAATAAATATTCAGAATTGCTACAGGCACAAGAAGTGCTGCAGAATGTACCGGTAGCCGACAGGAACTTCTGCGCCCTTGTGACTGCTCACTCCCCGAGGTTGCTCAATTCGTACAATATACATTACTACCTAGGTGGAAGAATACATATATGTCCTTTACAGGTTCATTCACTCAAGGGTAGTCCCAGTATAATACTCGATGATTTACGAGAAATACAAGTGAATTTTGAGATCACAAGGCTACTCAGGAAAAGAGAGAAAAATAAGAAAGAGAGAATGAAAAAACAAAAGCAAAAAAAGAATATTAATTCAAAGGAGGTAGGCAAATATCAATCCATTGTGTACTATTAATATGATCCGTCAAACAAGATCTTGGACGTGTCTGCAATGCATGGCATTGTTTACTACCTGTCTGACCTGAGCTCAGTCATGCTTTGCTTTGCTCAGGACTCGTCAAGATTGTGATGGATGGAATGGGTCCTGGCGGCCGGACCTTGACTACCCCCTGCCTTAGTGCCGGAGCGGTGGCCCTGTTCGTCGTAAAGCTGAAACCGGAAGAATGAAATCCGACACACCGATTGACCCACATGCGGATTTCAAGGAGTTCTGGGGTCTTTGGTTCCCGTGGTCGTTCTCCCCAGAGATTTTCGGGGAGAATGAATGGCTTCTTTTTCTTTTTTTTCCCCTTCTTCTTGTTTTCAATTATTTGTCTGAAACTTGTAATATCATCGTCGACCAAACTTTTCACTGCTGTAGGGCACAGATCTTAAAATAAAGTTTTGCGATTCGAACACTAGGCTTTCCATGGTTTCTTCATGCGAGAGAACCATCTGTCGGGTGATGGTTTTTTAGGGGGGAACGGCCGGTACTACGGAGTACTAGTACGTGATACCACAGAGCAGGTGTTGGTCCTTACCACGGACCTGGGACCACCCACATGACTCGACAAGAGTACTCCATCCTGTAGGTACAATCGTAGCATTGATCACTATACCATTCACCAATAATACCAGGGTTTATAGGATGATCATTACGGTGTTCGAGTGTTATTGGATGTTCTTTTCTTTCCCAATCGTCTCGACTGTGTATTTATGTTCTATAATTAAGGTGATTGTTCCCTTTTTATATCGTATGGGGCGATCTTGTCATATAATTAATTAGCGGGGGTACGACGGTACGGAGTACATTCTATAAGCGAGGTGGATGAAGTATTAGGTTCAAAGAGATCATTTATGTACAAAACCCTTCAAACAGTCATACGAATCATTCGTGCTCTTTTTTTATTATTCTGATCTATCGGGAACGGATTTACGAGCTCATTTCTTTTCAGCCCCATAACTCCCTTTCCCCAATACCCTCGGCAACAGGATCAAAAATACGAAAGCTAGGAATTTCAAATACTATAACCCGAGTGAGGAAGAATGAAATATCATATCAATAGTGCTGGGTACTAGGGAGGGTTCTTATCTGCCGTAATACGGAGTGCAATCGGCGAAGAAGCAGCCCTTGTTATTCTAGCAAACATCTGTCGATCCGTGCGTCACATCCGTACCTCGTGGCAATGTTCGGTTGCAGGTACTGGCAGGAAGGGGGGCCAAGTGGGAACCAGTGGAAATTTTTGGATCGGAGACTCCGGCCAGGCTTTACGGTAAGAGAGACGGGATTAACGTCGTAACCAACATGCCAGCGGAGGTTTGGGATGAAACCTTAGGTAATCATCATGCAATACACCTTATCAAGTTATGTAGGCATGTTCGTACAGGACAGGAATTTCAAGTTCTGAGAGGATTCTTTCAATACTAGTACTAGTCCAAGGACATCTCCAGGATTCGAACTTAGTTTATGGTTTAGTGATACATTCGAGAAGGAGGGGAGAACAAAGTGCCGACAGGGTAATACGTAGGTATCTATTTACAAGGTAGTAGATAGAAGTAGCTGCATATTCCGTACCTACAAGGCAGTTAGCGACCGAGTTGAGGCTAAAGAGTCGTCCAAGGGTGGAACACTTTAAAATTCGTTTTTGTTTTTCGAAAGCCCAAGATTTAAGGTCACACAATAAGCAGTCTGTAATATGTATTTGTGAATGGCTTTATGTTCGAGTGAATTTGGGGGGGTTTCGTCACTCACATGTTAATTTTGACTTTTACGTTATTTGATATTATTAATCTTAAATCGTGTTTTTTCTTTTTCTTTCTCTTTTTCTCCCGATGTTGAAGTAAAATTCTCTTTGAGAGGCAAAGAGGTACCTCGCTGGTACTAAAGGTAACAATGGGTTGTTACCCGCCGAGGCTAATGACACTAACTTTTGCTAAGAACGGAGATGCGGATACTAAAGAATTAACGGAACGACACATGCCACGCGCATCTGCTGCTGCTGGAGATCGAGCAGTTACATTCTTGGTTCTAGTGCCAGGGCCACCCAACTCCAGAACCGAACTAACGAACTAACCAAAAGTCCACTGCAGGAAGGATGACTCCAAAAAGTACCTAAATGGACTTAGTTATCTGACCCGCGCGCTGTGAAAATGGGTCCCCCTCTTCCACACACTTTCTCCTACTCCGATCGGAATTGATTGAATATAACTAACAGATTGCGCGACATTACCACGGATACTACTCGTTCCTTACGGACATTGCTCCTGGTGTTCTCTTCCTTACTCTTCCCACCCCCCCCCCCCACCCCACTTGTGTCCCTTCTTCCCGCTCCCTGATTCGATTTCTGTGCCACGGCAGCAATGTACCACTTGTGGCTATTAATCTTACTATATTGATATCCGGAGCCTTTTTTCCCTTTACTCTCCCCCTCTCTCTTCGTCGTCGCCGCTTACCGACTGCTGCTAACGTCCTCATCTTATCCCAACGCCTTTAAGAGTCGCTGACGCAATCAAAATCCCGCTTTGAGAGCGGTCGATCACCCACTGCTGAAGAGAACATTCCTTTGTGCTTTTTGACGTCCCTCATTGGCTTCGGCAGACGTCGCATGAGCTCGTAACTCAACTCATACCTTCGCAAACCTCCAAAATTGAGATCCCTCCGCTTTGCCATCCAAACTTGGTTTTAACTGGGACTGAACGGGACTGAACTTTCTAGTGGCAACAATTCGCAGAACCCTGCTATATTCCATAATTTTTTCGATTTTGCGCTTGGAGTTGGTCGTTCCTGTCATTGGGTAGCTGTGTTGCCTTTGAGATTCTCTGTCTCTAATACATCTGGGGTGAACTGCTGTCGGATAGTCTGGGGTGTGATTTTCAACATTGTCGCATTTGTCGAACAGTCCCACAATCGCCTGGACTTCAACCAGCAGCTCTATTCAGGTTTCTACCGTGACATTAGCGTGCTGTGTCGTACGAACGGAACGCCAGAAATCCACCTCTCGAGTAACTGTTTCAGCTGGAGTTCTTGACTTTCGCCATTTGGTCGCAAAAAAGAGGCACGCCCGTGTTTTCTTTTTTGCATTTGTTTCGCTATTTAATTCCACCTCCTAAAATAATACTATAACTACAACAAATCGGTTAGTTGCTCTCCCAGCGAAGATAGCCTGCCCACTCGTATTCTGTCTTGATGGTCGTCGCATGTCTTAAAGACCACCCTTTGAGTGGTCATGAGCATTTGTCAGGCGTGTCCCCTGATTCACCTGCTGCCATTGGACTTCGCTCGTTCCCCTCCCAGGTGTGCACCAACGTCGGAGTTCTTAAACTAATTGGCACCTTCATGGGTCGTGAACAGGTTTTCCTATAAGTGAGAGAAACCCATAGACAACATGGGTTGTATGAGCTCAAAGCCCGTTGACACAACGGATAAGGACGCTTTACAACGAAATGCTCGGATAGACAAGGTCCTAAAAAATGACAAAAAGGTGATGGATAGGACCATCAAAATCCTCCTTCTCGGTAAGTCTCCAAACAAATTCCCCTTGGTCATATGTATTCACAGATATTTAGGTGCTGGCGAATCAGGAAAATCAACAATCATAAAGCAAATGCGCATCATTCATTCTGGGGGGTTTCCTGAGGATGAGCGCCGTCAAACGCGTGCAGTAATCTATTCCAATGTTGTCATTGCATTCAAGGTTTTGCTAGATATTATGCGCACAGAAAGCATCGAGTTTGAGCAAGAGAAGACCAAGGTAAATAAGAATTGGCAGTCAGCCATTGCTCCACACTTCTCCCTATTTTCCTCCTGTTTGAAACACCGACTAATCTTTGATACCATTCTCCAGCCGCTTGCGGAGTATATGGATACTCTGGAGTCTGACGTCGGCTCAGAAGAAGCATTCTCCGATCTCAAGGTTCGCGATGCCATGAGAGATATGTGGAATGATGCAGGAGTGCAAAAGGCCGTTGCTAGAGGGCATGAATTTGCTCTTCACGATAATCTGCATTAGTGAGTGCCGATTGCGTGCCGATCAAACAGACGGCTATTGACCTTCTTATAGCTTCTTTGATTCACTTGACCGGATATTCGCGCCTGGCTGGCTTCCCGACAATCAGGACATGCTGCAAGCGCGTTTGCGAACCACAGGAATTACGGAAACTCTATTTGAACTTGGCCAAATGAACTTCCGAATGATGGATGTTGGTGGCCAACGATCTGAGCGCAAGAAGTGGATCCATTGTTTTGAGGGTGTGCAGTGTCTTCTCTTCATGGTCGCCTTATCAGGCTATGACCAGTGCTTAGTGGAGGACCAGAACGCTGTAAGAACCTTTGCACCCCCTTCTGGATTTGACACATATCTAACGCCATTTTCTTGTTAACAGAACCAAATGCACGAGGCCATGATGCTGTTCGAGTCATTGGTAAACGGAGAATGGTTCAAGCGCAAGCCCATCATTCTTTTCCTGAACAAGATCGATCTCTTTAAGGGCAAACTAAGTGTCTCCCCCGTGTCCAAACACTTTCCGGATTTCAACGGTTCAAACACGGACTTTGATGCTGCGGCAAGATATTTCGCTGACAGGTTCCGCGGCATCAATCGCATTCCCGATCGAGAGATCTACATCCATTACACCAATGCGACTGACACAACATTGCTGAAAGCAACCATGGATTCTGTGCAAGACATGATCATCCAGAAGAATCTGCACACTCTTATCTTATGATAATTAATGTTTCATCAGAGACGATTGGCTTCCACGATGACTTCCCGCGAGCCTGAGTCTATTCTATTCACTCAGCCTTTCACGTTGCATTTTCCGAGCGTTTTCCTTTCTACGACACCGTGGCCCTCTCCTTAGCCTTGTATTATTCTCTTCTTGCTTATTCCCCTTTTCTTTCCTTTTCGTTATACATGCATCGAGAAAGCGTTCTCGGTCGATTCTGTGCTACAGTTCTACTATGCTATCCTGCATGAAAAGCTTACACTACTACATGGTGCTTCATTTTGTTCGGTTCAGCGACGAGTCTCTTTCTTTCTACACCATGCAGATTGATACCATTCTATTCTTTTATTTTCTCTTCTCCTGCCATTCATCAAGTCTGGCGGTTTCCATGGCTACTTACCATATTTGTCCCATTTGTGCTGTAATACATTGTGGCGAAGGCTTCGGCTCCTTGTTTTCATAATATCTAGTCCCAATCTTACGAATATTGACAATCCGGTCTGGGCTGAAGTGTCTATGGGTGAGGATTCCTGGCTTCCTGGTGTTTATTGGGACTGGTACGTTGGGGAAAGAGTAACCTATTCCTGGTTGAAATGCGGGTGTGTAAACATGAAATTTTCTTTTTCCTCTCTCGGTGGTAATTACTTTCGCTTATCCTGATTGAAAGGAGGTTGTGTGGAATTAGTATTCGGACTATAAGCAATATAATTCGTATTGTTAATCAGGCTGCGTAAGACGAAGCAATGCCTCCCACGGTATCTCAACGCGTATCAATCCCCGGTCTGATACCATGTTGAGGGGTACATGTTCTACCTTTGGAAACCGAGGCTTTGTCAACCCATCATCCCCGACATTATTACGTCTCGTATAAGTAAACGGACGAAGAGGTGGAATGATCGGTAGATCACCTGACCGACCTGGTGTATATGCCTCAGGTGTCTAATATGGACAGAGCTTTACCGGATTGGGCTTCCGCCTGATCGGCTCAACTTCGAATTCGCCTCAGACGACTTCTAACCGGCGTTGTTCCCGACATACTCGTCACCCAGTTTCTGGGCTATTCGACGTCGGAAAATGCTGTCATCTTCGTTACGCCGAGCTGCATGGGCTCCTATTGCTCCTATCACCGGCATCGCTCGCTCGTCCAGCCAAGCTCTTCCAGCTTCCTCTAATACCCTCTTAGGCGCGGCACAGCATGTCCGTCAGCGCCGTTACTCCTCATCTTCTTCTTCGAAGCCCAGCGACGGTTCCAGAAAAGTCGACGCTTCTTCTCAGACCCCCGCCAAGGGCGTGAATGCAAGCGAAAAGCGCGAGGGTAAGGCTTCCAGACGAAGGGGAAAAGATAGCAGTGGCCGTAACGGTTCCAAGTCGAACCAGCATACGGTCTTCTCGAGACTGCCTAGCGTTCCCTCCACCCAACACCTTCAACCCCATGGTGAGTAGAAGTGGCACCAAGGAGGCGGACAAGGTTCTTAGATTGTCTTTTGACTAACTTTTCCCCCCCTTGCGGAGCAGACGTTCACGTAGCTTCATTCTTTTCTATCCACCGACCTATCTCCGTTTCGACCACTGTTCCTCCTCCTTCTAGCCCTGAAGCTTTTGATGCCATATTCACCGCCAAGAAATCCACGAAACATGATTCGGATGATGTGATTCTTACTCTATCCTCCACCGTCAACTCCATGGAGAACCCTGCCTATCACTTGGGCGAACAAGAAGGCTCTCTGAACCACTTCGACATGGAGGGTAACCAGCTCGACGGAATGAACATGGCGGAGCTGAAGGTTTCCGTGGAGGAGCTTACAAGGCGACTTCGTCCATTCCACCCCCCGCCGCCACCGGTTCCCTTCGACGAAGCGAAAGATGCCGGTGCCGTGGAGTCGGAAAACTTTTCTCCCCGCGAAACCAGTTACTCCACCGTTTTGACCATCCACGAGTCCACACATGCGGATGGTCGCAAGACGTATGAAGCCCACACGGGTCCTTTCGTCCGTACACCGGATATGGACGCTCCTGGCGCTGGTGAGAATGAGGCTATCATCGACGTACCGTCTCAACCCGGAACCACCTACATTGAGCGTCTGCGCAACAACCGGACCATGCAAGCGATCAGCACCAAGAGACGGCGTAAGCTGAAGATGAAGAAGCACAAGTACAAGAAGCTTTTGCGGAAGACGAGAACCTTGCGTCGCAAGCTTGACAAGGCTTAATCGGGATCTCTCTATTACCGCCTCCTTCCTCGTGCACTGTCCCCTTCCGATCACCTTCCTCAAGTCTCATGGCACTTTGGAGTTGTACATTACCATCTTGCCGGACTTGAACCGGTTGGTGGTTCCCTAGGTGCTTTGTTTGTGCCCGTCCTCATGGTTCCTACGGTATATTCATTTTCTTGAATATTACACGTTTCTTACGCATTGTCCATTCTATAGACAGTATCATTTACATAGCTATTCTTATATCACTTTGTTTGATCGTTGAAGATGGACATATAGCTCTGTATTTTTAATGTGATTTCTCGACGCAAAGCTCATATTGAGCCCTGTACTACTAGATACAATGTAAATCAGTTTAACGGTTACACAAGGATTACACCATGAGAAAGTATGTGAGTAGCAAGTTTGTAAAGTAATGGTCCAAACGGAATACATGGCAAAATACTATTTCTTCAAACAATAGATATTTACTATATCAGCCGCACGGTTGCAATGCACCACTATAATAGAATGAGGTCTTTTGATTCCAAATAACAGATAACATCCCGAATCGAATCTTGAAAGCAAGTAGTAGCTTGAACACAAACAGCAAATAACCGCATAAACAGCATGTCAGCATTGCAATGTAAATGATCCAGTCCAGGACCACAGCGACTCCAATAAAGTACAGGTACAGCGCAAGGCTTCAGCCATGCATTGTATCTACCACGACGACCCACCCATCCTACCATACAGCCTCGGCCTGTATGTAAGCACCATAACTCTTGACAGTTGAAAGATAAGCCAAAGTTCCTCGCCCCGTTCAGCTGCTGTTTATCTTGGCTCTCGTGACAATATGAAAAACGTTCGCTACCAGAAAGCAAGGCGTTTACCATGTCACATTAACCAATCTAAACCAATATACTGTGTGCGAAGAGGATTAATTGGAGGTCCTCGCACAATGATTGTCGAATATGACTTAGCACTTGGCATCGATCTTGGCACGCGAGTTCATGAGAAGGGCAACGATGAGACCGTAAAGACCTGTTGTATGGAGCGACGATCATTAACAAATTGGAACCAAATACCAGGGACTGGACTCAAGAGGCAAAGACTCACCCAAAACTTCAGCGAAAATGAGAATAAGGATCATGCCGACATAGAGCCTGGGTTGTTGGGCTGTTCCGCGGACACCTGCGTCACCGACAATACCGATGGCAAAACTATACACCATGTTATCAGTTCATAGGTCTCGCAGAAGTAGATTGTATCCGATCGCGCAGGAATCAGACATACCCAGCTGCCAGACCAGCAAGACCGACAGCGAGACCTGCTCCCAGCTGAATGAATCCGGTGTATAGAGGAACTGTCTGTGCCAGGTCGTTCGCGATCAGGACGGACACGACCAGACCGTAGATACCGATGATACCCGCCATGACAATGGGGACAATGTCTATAATTATGCACAGTCAGAATCCTAGACGCTTACAGGCAGGCAGTGCTATCGGGATAGCTCATCGCGGCCTCTAACGTACTCTTGACGATCAGATCGGGTCTGAGGACAGCCATTCCACAGACACCGACACCGGCCTTAGCGGTTCCATAGGCGGCACCGAAGCAGGTGAAAACGATGGCCGAGGTGCAACCAAGGGCACCGAAGAAGGGCTATTTCGGTAAAGAGGATCAGTCATGCTTTCTTCAGTGGGCAACACAGTAGGTCAAGCACTAGGGAAGCTGGCTAAGCGGTTCCGTAGCTAGCTGGAGCTCTAGTATGGCCGGCATCGACAGACTGTGGAGATACTCACCGCATAGACGGGACTATACGGCTATAACGTTAGCACCAAGGACAAATGACTACTTTGCACGCTGTATTATCGGAGGACCATACGGCAGAGCGACCGAATGACCGAGATAGGAGTCAAGCTAGGAGATTACGTACCAAAGTTCTGTGGCCATTTTCAAAGACTAGACGGTTCTCAAGGAGAAGGATTGGTTAAGAAAAGTACAAAGAAGGTTATAAGAAGCAGTCCACACAGGGGAGCGCCGCGTAGACAACAGTTGCGGTGATGTGAAGGCTTCGGTTGTTGATGGGAGTTGAGGCGAACACCGTGTTGCTGGAGTCGTTGCTCTTCGGGGAGGCTGACGGACCGCATGTGCTGCCACGTGATCTGGGGCTTGGCACCGCTCATCGGAGGTATACTAGTAGCTGCATTGATGGAAATCTACCCAGCTGCTGTAGATAGAGTCTACGGTTACAATTGTATTTCTCACTTTTGTATCATATCAGTAGCTATACATAGGTGGCATTTGGGCCCCTTTCACTCTATGAGGCGACCAATTTGACTCGACATCCCGGGATATCAAGCTTAGTGCCAGACTCCAGAACCTCTTGCTCTGGCCTGATTGGAACGATAGGTTGCGAGAAAGTTATTGCTTTCTCCGATAGAGCTCCAAAGTAATTAGGCTTGACTCTTAAGTCCTTTTGGGGTGCACCTTTTTCTGCTTGGGCTATGGACGTCTCATTATCGAACACGACCCCGAACTGGTACGAGATCGCACCCTCTCGGGAACCGAGTAGCTCCGGCTGACCGTTCTGGACATGGTCTGGCTCGACAGAAACATAAAATTGAATGTAGTCCCCGGGCCTAGCCACTTGTGACAGGGTTGTCAGGTCATCGACAACAGGTTTCTCCTCAAACCAAGGTGGCGCAGTTTGCGCCGTGCTTGTGCCAAAGGGGGAGAATATGTTATCCAAAGTTGTAAACTCATTGCTCTCGTAGGGTCCTAGAAATTTGGTCTCGTAATCAAGTGACAGAAGGCCCTGTTTCTTGCCCCATCCGCCACCACCGCTCATGACCCGGTGGAGTTTACCTCCGGCTTGAACTGATCTCACAAGTTCGGTCCGAAAGCCATCGGATTCGACTTGTGAGTTGCTCGAAGGAGACTCGACCAGAGCCCAAACGGAAACCCTGCGGTCAGCAATATTATGTTCTTCAATGTAGCGTGGCAGCTCTTTCTCTAGTTCAGACGAAGCGGGCATCGGATCCTTCGATGTGCCGTTTGGATATTTTGCTAGTTGACGCAGGATGTTTCCCATGCTGGAGATAACCTCCCTTCGCTGGCCAACGGGATGTAAAGGAAGTTTCAATGTGTTGTGTACAGAACTTGCAGTAGAGGATATTCGACAGCGTGAAAGCTCGATCGATCGATCGAAGGAAAAACTGGATGAAGGAAGGTTATAGGACCAACGAGTCCCATATAGAGTATTTTCGCTGCCATTTATAAACAGTGTATTGGCGAGGCGCAGCCCGACCTCATGGACAGCTCGTCGGAGAGTCGTATTATCCGAGCCATACGACACTTCCGTCTGGAAGGAAAATACGAGGGCTGATTCCTCAGTTTCCGAGCTCCTAATGCGTCGAGGTGCAGCAGCCCTCCCTTGTAAGTTTGCCGTCCTCGCAAATAGGAGGGAGATCCCCTCCGACTCTGCCACAGCGCCATTGTCGGTGTTATCCTGGAGACCCGATGGAGTATCGGGCAATTTATCAACAATTGCGACAATGGCGTGTACAGGTTCGGGGGAACCGGATGTCGGAGCCTTGCGATAGAGTCGGTTGATGCATTGTTCGAGGAAGGGATTGGTCGTGTCGGCCCATTGGGCAAGACTAGGGGTTAAGAGGAGAATTGGAATATGGTCCGGCCCTGCGAGTGACAGTGGTGTAGAAGGAAGGCTCGAAAGGACGTCATCTGGAGTCTCTTCGACGTTTAGCTAGTCGCACCTTCGTGCAACACCGGGAAGGCTTACAATCTCTTCGGGAGTCCTCGTTAACCAAGTGTGAGCAAGAAGACGATCATCTGCGGCTGCTTTTGTCTGCGTTGCAAAGCAACTTTGTGGAACACTGCGCTTCCGTAGATACGGGGTCAACTTCCGAAGTTGACGATGGCTGGACATCAGTGGAAAAGGATTTGGTTTAATTGCTAGCCGTGCTGGGATAGCAGGCGGGAGGGACCCGAGTATCACCGACATGGAATCATGAACGTTCAGTAATTGCGCCCAGAATTGACTAGTAGGGAAGACCGTCTCATGAACTCGGTTGTAGGAAACACTTTTTTGTTTTCCTCCGCGGACAAGTGAGTCGGCTGCCAAGACACTGGAGTTCTAGACGGAGAGCTTTCCCCACGAGTACTAATTACCCACCATTAAATTTACCCTTTTACAGATGTATGTACTTTTTAGGTGTGGACATCGCACAAGTTCAACAACTTAATCAGCTGGTATATGGTGAAAGGAATAAGGGATGCGGTGGAAGAAAAGCCATATCGTCCCATGGATATCAGAAGGGTCTTTCTGAAGGTGGTGTCAAGATGAGGCTTGGTGAGGAATCCTGGCGCAGTTGATCGAGGCTGATTGAATTTATTTATTCTATTTTTATTTTTCATCTTTGTTGTCTATTTGTAGAAAGGAAATCAGAATTCCTTGTACATCGTAAATTAGCCATAGTTAACTTGATTGTTCGCGTAGCGCCGCTTGAAACGTTGGAGGTCTGTAAGCCTATCATTTGAGTGGTGTAATTAATGCATCGTCCCCTTGTTTCCACTCTTTGTATTCCTGAAGCTCATTGGCGTGGTAGTAAACCTGATACTCCCATGACGTATACCGCGTGTACATCATTATATAGAACTGCAGAAAACAACCTGGTTGGAGGTACAGCGAAAGCAAGTAAATCCCGAGCGTCGTTGAGGATATGATATCAGTTCGCAAGAAATCCCGGCGCTAGGGAATTGTAGCGGTGGAGGCCAGAGAACAATATACTAGACCATATAGCCTACGACGTATATGGAGTATGTCCTCCGTACATACTGTGTACAGTACTAGTACTAAGCCTGACTTGTAAGCCCATAGGGCTGTGCGGCCCACAGCTTGTTAAACCCGTGCTCCCTGGAGCCCTGACATCAGTCAATGATCGAACAATCCATGATACTAAGAAAGGGACCTGAACTTGATGGGCTTTATCAGAAAAATAAAAATAGAAACAATTGAATATATGATGACGATTATCACTTATTTCTAAAATGAACTTTTTTCTTTTTCTTTTTTATTTTTTTCTTTACTTGCAGTGTATAGAGAACTGTTCAGCCTGGAACCGCCAAGCTTTTCCAGGCAACAGAATTTAGAGGGAATCTGAAGGAAAAAAAAAAAAAAAAAAAAAAAAAGATAGTCATGGTGACATAGCGGTTGGGCGACTAAAAAACAGTCCCCTTGCCTGTGATCGTATAATTAGGTAGCGCTGCCAAGGATAACAAGCCACCATGAACTTAAGGGACGCTCCATTTTGAAATTTTCACCCTTTTCCATAGATCCACCTGTGTTGGAAGTATGTATGTCCATGCCTTCTTTTGCCAAACTTGACCACGACGTAAAAGTCACCCGACAAGAAAGCTGGAACGGAGGGCTCGGCAGCGGGAAGTTCTTAATGCACATCATGGGGAATTGATCCAATGGGAATAGGGAAGAAGGAGCCATGAGCCACAGAGCCACAGTTTGACGGAGGATGTATGACGTAGCTATTCAGAACCGATGAAGCATCACCTTCTCCTGATGGTCTTGACTAAGGGGAAATACTACCTGGTCCATCACCACCCGAAGAAGAAAGAATTCCTTAGTAGTACCAATTAACCTAGCCATCTAACTAGTAGGTCACTTAGCCTAACCCGGTCCCAAGCCCCATCGGGAGTCCAGTAAAAATTAGTACTGCCTTGGGGCGTTTTTTTACCCTAGCGGAGGTGCTCTCACGTTATCTTGCCGCCCATGATCTATTAAATCATTTAAAGAGCCCATCGCTTCTCTCCCGCCTTCCTCCTGAAATCTTCCCCATTCTTCCCACTACTTCTACTACTCCTATCTCGGTTCTATTTTACTGATTTGATCACCGACCACTGTCTACCCTGTCTATAGAACCTACACACGTTCCTCGTTGACACTCCATCGTCACCATGCCTTTCACTGCTTCGTAAGTGAGCTCCTGCCGTCGCACTCGGTTGCCCACCCTCACCCGGAGTCATCCATTTTATTATCCCATCGTTGCGCTTTGTACCTATAAAGAGGACGGGGAACGAGTTATCAATAAGGGCTCAGCTAACCAACCTAATTTCAGTGATATCTGCAAGATCCTCTTCGCGATCATCCTCCCTCCCTTGGGTGTTTTCCTTGAGCGGGGATGCGGTGCTGATCTCCTCATCAACATCTGTTTGACCATTCTGGGTTGGATTCCTGGTATCATTCACGCTCTGTATGTGTCTGCCTTGCATTGAAATTGCATGTTATGGTTTTACTAATTTTGTTCAGGTACATTATATTCAAGTACTAGACAGCTCTCCACATCTCTGTCGCCATGCCCGTTTTGGTTCACAGCGCCCGGTCGAAAAGAATTACATCGTTCTGCGGTTAATAGCATGAGATACCAGCTTTTGTGATCGAACTCGCGACCATGATGTTGTCAGCACTGTTCCGCGGCGCTCCGGCCCAAGCCACCCTAAAGTGACCCCACTACTTGGCAACCCCCGTGTATCCATTCTTCGACTGCGACGGCGCTAAGCGGTCTGCAACGCTGCTTGCTCGCTGCGATGGCGTTTTGGATTGTTCCTAATTCCCTTTATTCTCATGTTAACCATGCTCTGTTTTTTTCTTTCTTTTTTTTTTTTTTTTCATCCATGTCTCTTTCCTAGGGCTTTTTTTTGTTTGTAGAAAATTAAGAATCTTTTTTTTTTTGTTGTATTTAATTTTTTGTCTTCCCCTCCTTTCCCAATATTTTTTTTTTTTTTTTCGCTTCGGATGATACCAGCTCATTTGCGATACTGGGCTCTACTTTGCTGTATTGTCAGTGAGATTAGTTTTAATGATTAATGGCAATTGATAAGACCTTTGGTCTGTGATCGTGCTAATATTATCTTCTTCTGTAAAGTGCAACAAGGTACTTGTCAGCGACCTTGATCTAAACCGCCTACGAGCTAAGACTCCCGTGCCTGGTGGTCTAGAAGTGGATACCAACGCTATACTATATCTTGCTATTAACTTGTTCAAGTACCGAATACCCACTACTAAGACAAAACGCAGATCACACTCCAGGAATCTACTACGTACGGGGTACGTACAAAGCATATTACGTCCTCTATCTTGAAACATCGCAATTGTGGCTCCTGGGAAGTGTTGATGGAACTCTTTCTATAGTGCATGGCTATGCAACCAATCGTGACAACAAAGTGTTTATGGCAAACTTGATCGTCCTCACTTTAGGTATACCATTCAAATATATTCCGCATATTGAACACAGTTCCAGCTTCCAAATGGAGGAAAGAAAATAATAATAAGATAAATAGGATTCGAAAAGAAAAAGGGTAAACCCTCTCGGAGCCAATACATCGCACTATCTGAGCCAGCCAACACCGCCACCGGGGCCGGCGCTCTCAGGAACAACAGCATAGGCCACGATGCTTGTGGAAGTAGCATACTCCAATTGAGTATACCCTGCAGGACATACCCACTTAAACCCAGGGATACTCTCCCGAGTTAAGCTCCCGGCGTAGGAGACCAAATGGGTCGAAGCTAGGGTTAGCCAGTAGGTTATCGATAGATTAGACCCATCCATAGTAATCGACACTGAATAAGTTATGCAGACAACCGGTATGCTTTCTTAATGGCCAGCTAGCGGACATGATGGCATGGCATAGATATTCAGTTCCATAATGTGAGTGCATTAGGAGAGAGATGCGACGATGCTATGGTCTACCCCTCGGTGGTCAGAAGCAGCCGGAGCCATACATCGCTTTAGAGTGTAACCTTACGATAAGGAAGGTATTATCAGAGCCAGCTAAGAAGGGTTCAAATAAGCTTTAGTTCCTATACCCCGGGCTTATGTGGGTATTGCCCAATCAGGAAGTCGAAGGATTCTTCAGGTACGATCTTATGGGATAACGAAAAAACCACTCGGTAGCTCTAAGTACTAATGATGATTTCTGAAATAGCTTCCTCACCTGTGCCGTATGATAAAGCTCCTATTACGGTGTACGTCTTGGGGACGCAATAACGACGAAGGCTGAATCGACTGCAGTCACCATTCATCAGATAGAAAAAAAAATGTCATACTTCTTATTTGTCACCCCAGTCCTTCAGTCTTCCATAGTACCACCAAAGGGTTAGATGTGTTGCGACCTACAAAAAGTCATCTATATTTGGAGTCGGCGGATCTGACATCATGCTTCGTAGGCTCTGCAGCATCGGCGCCAACACGGCGCGTACCGAGCTTGTTTGCGTCCCTCTCGCCCAAACAAAGCGCTTACCCACTTTAATGCATGCTTTTACAGGCTATTCTGGTAATTTGGTCAAGTCAAAAGGTTATTTACGTTTCATGAGGGCGCTTACAGATGTGTTGTTGATGGGGCTCGTCTCAGATCCAGACCTTTCTCTGCCCATGGCCACTCAGCGCCATGACGAGAGACGATGATCTTTTTGACGCCGTAGGGAGTAGGATGACCCCAATATGGCATTGACCATGCTAAGCTTTAATCATGGACTTTTTCATGTCGTCCCTTTCAGTCCTGACCTCACATCTCTGCAGTATCACCTTGCCTACACTGTCTGTACCACTATTGCGACTGTATACCGTCAAGTGTCATCCGATTCACCTTGTCCACTTCCTTAGCATGGTATCCTATAAGTGGATATGACTCCTGAAGCAGACATCATCTTGCGATATTGAGGCTGTGGTGAGTTGATGATATCTATAAAGCTAATTAACGTTCTGTCCTTCTTTTCCCTTCGAGTTTCTGCATTGGAGTTGTATGGTTTTCTGATGAGTTCGGATCTAATCAGGTACTGCAATATGTTATCATCTCTTCTTCAACGGCTACCCACCCTATTTCTGTCATTAGTTCCGCCTCTGCTAGCTCTAGGCGCATATGGCCAGAAACTCCCGGCAGCCCGGCTCGATACCGTACCCGATTGTGCTCTAAACTGCGTCGAGAGTTTTATAAACACTGATTATCCGAATAATGCGTGCTCGTCTGTGTCAGATATCAGCTGTCTATGTAAAACTAATACAAAAAGCGGTTATACGCTGGGGGAGGCGGCCTTACGCTGCGGCTTCTCGTTCTGCTCAATTGAAGTGGCGCTCAATTCAAGTGTCTACAGCATTTGTGATTCGGTACCCGGAGCGTTGCCTCGTACACATGCTACAATCACTGCCACAGTTGTGTCTGTACTATCGCCTACGAGCGTTCCCGCTACCGAGACACACTCACCTAATTCTAGTTTGACTACTCCGACGGATCCTATACCACCGCAGACCGGGCATCCATCGACTACCTTCACCACATTTCAAAGTCCAGTATCAGCAACGGATACCGAGCAAAGTACCCCAAGTACTGCTAGCAGCTCACAGACAACCCACAATGCAACATCGGGAGCAGCTGCCGGTAAGGAGAGTAGTCTCAATGCAGGTGCTGTGATAGGGGTGTCAGTTTCTTCTGGTATTGCGGGATTCTTTATCCTTGGGGTTATAGTATTTTTCTGTTGCAGAAAAATGAAACGGCGGTATCAGCAACCAAAGGGCCATGATTTCTTTGAGATTGGAGGTGCTATGGCGGAACCACCCAATTTCTCACTACCTCCAAGACGTCCGACTCCAGGGCCCAACCCCCCATCCGGTGCAGGACACGGGGACACGGAGACTTCTAGACTCATGTCTCCATTTCAGCCTGGTCCTCAGAACCCAGCAGTCGTTGTCACAGGTCCGGGTGACGACTATCGTTATGGCTCCACGGGGATAGACAGCCCAGGAAGGATTGGCTTTGCTATATCCTCTAGCTCAGATCTCGAGCCCTCTGTCAGTCAGTCATCCCCGCGGACAGTCTCCGACCTATTGCCTGACAAGCCGGTATACACACTCTGCCCGGAACCATTGCGGCTGAGTCAACAGAAATACCCAAGGCCCACCAGTGGTGACACATTGTTCGAAGAGGATGTCACCAGACCAAGGAGTTTCCTTGGTGGTAACAGGCAATATCCGACATATGCAAACATGCAAGTTCCATACAGGAATAATCGGCAGTACAAGCGGCCCCCAAGAGTAGGGCTCCCTGATAACCCACGTGCATTGTTTCATGCCTTTCGAGCGCGGAATAATACCGTCATTCCCATCGGTTCAGGCCGTCCAAAAAAGTCAGTCTATGTTAGTGCTGGTGAAGGGAGACAGGTCCCTTATCAAAGTGATTTATACGGCAAATCATCACCCCTAGGTCCACAGTCGTACATCACAGAGCGCAATGGGTATGTCGGTGATTACTTGCGGGGCCTTGATGTGGAGACTGCTAGAGCTCTTCCCGAGCCACCGGTATCTCGCAACGCAGTTCGTCATTTAGATCAGGAGGTCGACACAAAAAACAACTTATTAGACAGCTCCAGTGACGAATTTGAGACCATCAATATTAATGAAAGCTCGGGGTCCCATCGAACGTCTCGACATTCTGGAAACTTCAGACCACTCACTCCTGTTCGAGAAATTCGAACACCGAAGAATGACGGCCAGCGACGAAACTATTTCGACGAAGATGCGTCTGTAAAGTATCCCCGAATGCCGTTTTCCCGGGCCGTTAGTCCAGCCCGGGAAATTGTCTCTAGGCCTAGGATCGTGCGGCGTGATGATATCAAACGTGTGCAAATACGGCGAGGCAAGCCACAGCCCAAGGAATTGACCATTCCTTACTCACCAGATGATTATTGGAATGGACATAGCTGTAGCTCTCCGTCCGGACCTAGACCGTACAGGTTGTCTGGTGACCGGTCCTCGACGGAGATACAAGGACGCATGGCAAAGAAAAAGCGTTCATCATCAGAGCGCAACCTGACGCCATCAAGGAGAGGCTCTGACTTGATCCTTCGGGTAGAATGACGACCAGCTTTGTTTATTCCTTTCTTGTTATATTCGTTCTTTCCATCAAGTATGTAGTGGCTGAATTCCTGGTGAAGGCCCGTGTACTATGTATATATTCATAGAATACCGTTTCTTGATAATGATAGAGGGGAAAAGTATGTCCTTCGGACGGGTACCTAGTTGGAGAGTGTTGAGTATGGAGGATGGACTGGTTCTTTGTAGTATACTGCTCACCTGACTACTTATTCATCTTCCTCAGACTTTTCTTTCTTTGTTTGTTTTGTTCCGTTCTTTAATCTAATTACCGAATAGACTTTAGACAAGTACAACAAAGACTAGAGGGGGCCAAACCTCGCTTATCGCAAACCATCGGAGGTAATTCTCAAAGCAAAGCACACATACCATGTCAGTGCCACATCATTCTTGCAGACGCCGGTAACGTACCTCAGCGAAGAGAATGAGAGAAATAGCAAGGAAGAAGTAACATTCCATGCTGTGCGATAGGGATTCTAACCAGCGACTTTGGCCATGATGGCGACGCTGGTCCCAACCCCACAGACAGACGCTAAGGCCAAGTCGTCCCGTCAAGATCACATGCAGCAAGGTTTCGAAAATGGCTGACTGAGGCTGATGGTCGCACCTTGTAAACCATTTCAGGACGTTGCAGCGCAGCAGCGTCTTTTCTGGCGAGGATCTTTCGGGGTTGGGTCCAATGAACGCATACGACTCTTCACTAGGCCGCGGGACTCGGCTGGGCAACCAACCCTCATAGGTTGCCTGGTATCTGTGCCTGCGCCATCGCCGTAATGGATATTGACTGCATGCTTCTCTTCAAACATTCTACTCGGAGATATCGCCCGCAGTGACGTCAGGGGCGGCTGTTAAGGTGAGAAATTCCCTCATTCTGGGGGGAAACTCGGAGGAGGGTGTGAAGGAGGGCGAAGATGGATGGTTGAGACAAAGAGAAGGAAGCGAAGGGGGAGGGAAGTTGAGATGAAACGAAAAAAGAAAATCAAAATTAGATAATAATAATAATAATACTAATAAAATAAATGACTCAAGACTCCAACTATTCATTGATTCTGCCATGTCTGGTCCGGCGTTGCAGTATTTCTAATTTGGTAACGATTCCAGAGTATGGAGAAGTGGATCCAAGATTGACAATGTTCTCCATATTCTTCTAGCTATCAACCAGAGATCAACAATGATAAACTCCATACCTGAGGCATGCAATCCCATCGAGCGTATTGTTCTCAGTACAGGACTTGTTTGTACGGTACTGGTACTACGGTACAGAAGACACCGTGGGACATGGTACATTTTACCAGGCAAAAAGGTAATCGAGGTACTCCGTATGGATTGACGTACCGAGAAACGTAAAGGGTAAAGCCACCACCTCCACAGAACAAGAAAAACACCCACATCATCTCCCGTAACCACAGCCACTCTCCCAATCTTCCTTTCCGATGATATCAACGACGATCCGAAGATAATTGTCAGGGTGCCTTCCTGCGCGGATCCACTTTGATACCCCTCTACTGCACATCAACTCCACCGTCTTCGAGCGATCGAGCACCGGCGTCCTATGGTTTACGACTCGGTGGGCGCCTTGATCATTGCGTCGAGCAAATCAGAATGTGGCATCCCTTCAGCACAAATAATCAATCATGCTGTCGCTGCCTGGAATGGACCGGCGAGCTACGGTAAACTTTCCTTTCGGAGGAGTCTCTTCCCTGAGCACGTTAATGCATGATTCCATTTCTAAAAGGCATTCGTCCAGACGCGGTTGATGTTGGAGCCACGGGTTGCATTGACCATGAACCAAACAGGCGCTGCTCTTCACTCCACCCGCTGTGCCCTGCCTTTATATTAATGGCTTCATCCTCGCAACCTTGACCCTCTCTCTCCACTCCACTTGGTCAATCACTCCCTCTTTCTTCTATTCAAGACTCTTAGAGTGCTGCATAATCCCGGTCTTCTCTTCTCTTTCTCTATTCCATTGTCTGGTAGAAGCTGGCTCCTGTCGCGGAACCTCACCCATTGATTGTCTCAAAACTTGATTCGTTTATCGAGCTGTGTTTTCGGCTTCGAGACGATCTCGTCGACAGAAGTGGTGATCGATCTTCAACGTTGACGGTTTCGCCTTCTGCTGGCCGGTCCCACACAGGGCACTCCACAGCCTCCACTATCTGAGGTCATCCCGTAGTGTTACCCACAATTATAGGAACGAAGATGACGACCGCCGACGGTCTAGGTGCCCAAAGGGTCCGCCGGCTATCCAGTTTGGACGCTGTGCAAGCTGACCTTTATGGCGGCCCCAATGTGGTCGTTCCTCCCAAGCATTTGATGGCCACCACTGATTCTCACGAAACGGCTATCGCAATGGAAATGGCCAAGCAACACTTAGAAGATGAGGTTTCATCTGATGAGGGGTCGCCCCGCGTTGCGTCGCCGGTCCCACGAGGGCCTTTGACCACCACCGATGAGTTTGCGCTGGCCTTTGACATTGACGGCGTTCTGATCAGGGGAGGGGAACCGATCCCTGCGGCCGTTGAAGCACTCAAATATATCAATGGAGCCAATCCATATGGAATTAAGATGTAAGCATTCTCTATAGAAATTTTTCCCTTACGCCAAGTGACATTATCTACTAAATTAAGTGCCATGGCATAAACTAAAAATTTACCTTTCTTCTAGACCTTATATCTTCGTCACAAATGGCGGAGGCAAGACTGAAGAAGAACGATGCTTGGATCTAAGCCGGCAACTTGAGCTGGAGGTCTCGCCGGGTCAATTCATTTGTGGCCACACCCCCATGCGGGAGATGGCTACGCGGTACAATACCGTTCTTGTCGTTGGTGGTGTAGGCGAGAAATGCCGCATTGTCGCCGAGGGCTATGGTTTTAAGGATGTCATCACTCCCGGGGATATCATCAAAACGAGGCACGACACTACCCCATTCCGGAGCTTGACAGAGGAGGAGTACAAGAACTCTCGCGTCCGAGATTTCAGTCAAACCAACATTGATGCCATCTTCGTTTTTGCCGACAGCCGAGACTGGGCTGGTGATCAGCAGATCATTTTAGATGTTCTCATGTCGAAGAATGGACGTCTCGGTACACGCTCTGAGACCTTCGACGAGGGCCCACCCGTGTTCTTTTCCCACAATGACGTTGTGTGGTCCACCTCTCATGAACATTCTCGTATTGGCATGGGTGCCCTCAGGGCTTCTCTAGAGGCGCTCTACAAAGCCGTCACTGGAAAGGACTTAAATACAATTGCGTTTGGCAAACCTCAACTGGGAACATATGAGTTCGCCACCCGCCTCCTTCGCCAGTGGCGCAAGGACACCCACGGTATCAACAGTCCGCCACACACCGTCTATTTCGTCGGTGACACCCCGGAGTCAGATATCCGTGGTACCAACGAGTTTGACAAGATCAGTGACTCCCACTGGTACTCAATTCTTGTTAAGACAGGTGTCTATCAGGAGGGTACTATTCCCCGCTACCCGCCCAAGAAGACTACCGACAATGTGTTGGAAGCTGTCAAGTTTGCTATGGAACGTGAACTCAGCAAGCAGGCCAACGAGTCCGCCATCGCAGATGATGATGTCGACTCCGGCATCGACTCGGAGTCTGCTAAGAACCATTGATTGGCATTCACCAGGAAACTTTTGGATTTTACGTTCATCTAAATCTACATTTATTGATATCCCATTTCATCTATATATTTCTTATCTTTCGTGCTGTGCACAGTTTGTTTCTCAGTTTACAATGCTTTATGATTCCCAGGCATGTCAGTCTGCTTTCATCTTTGGTTGCTTCAACACCATTATGTTCGGTCTACTTCTCGGACACGAATTTCCAAAGATCAGGGATAGATGTCATTCAGTGCGCATTGATCCTAGGACGATCGTTTAGGTTCACAGAACCATGAAAGCCATTTCGGCGATCAGATATGTGCGACCCCATAGACTTTGTGATTTATTGAATTATGGACAGTATATCCATCATCTGCTCTGTTTCTATGATCTATCAGCATGCTGTGGACAACAATCTAAAGTTACAAATAGTTTCAGCTGGTCTATAGCGACCACCTCCATCTCTCCTCACTAAACGTCATCAATGACATAAACGCACGTCCTTCATGGTATAGTAGAGACTCATATTATGAACACCTGGCGTGACGTCGAATCAGCCTCCTACAAGCACCGTAGCATCCGTAACGCCGAGACCAATTTTGAAGCCTCACACGCACCGGGAGAGACGGAACAGGCAATTCCGAATATTAAGTTCAACAGCACTGCACCATACCCTATGATATGCAAGCAGACGTCACAGCGTCAGGAGGAGGAACTCAGCGGAAGAGGTCATCTAGTCTAATCTTGTCTGAGCGCGAGAATAGCCCGGGGCATTCATGGAGGGCGGGTCCCGCCTAACGTTGGATCGGAGAGTGTATTGGTGACCTTTGATTCAGCCTTGCGCTTCTGCTTGGATATAGAGAACCATGGATATGCGCTACTCCTAGTAGTAACGTATAAAGCAGGTTGATATTGGCGAGGATGAACCACTGACCCCTCATGCCCAGGACCGGACAAGCACCGGCGCTCGTTGGAGCGGGGGCGGATCCATTCAGGACGCTTATTACTAACCGTGTCCTCTTCTGATGTTTCCTATACGAGGACTCGATGGGATTTGCAAACATGCGACTATTTCCGCACCCCGCATTTTCGATGGGTCCCCGTTTAGATCTGGAATTCTGTATCGAGCCAATGCTTGATGACTACCTTGCCTTCGTCGAAGCCCGGCTTAGGGGCCCGCACGATGATTGCTGCATGGGTATGTCGATGGTTGTGGATGTAGACCGGGTATTTGCGGAATCCCACGGAGTTGAGCGACTCGATTATGGAGAGCTGGGCTGGCGTCAGGGCGAGGGTGGGATATGTTCGGCCCTTCTTGCTGATGGCATCATCTGCAGTTGTTTCGCGGGTGCTGTTTGGTTGACCATGCTCTGGTGTTGGCGGGGAAGCTTCTTGGATGGTGATGGAGCTGGGTTTGTGCCCTGCAGCTTCTTTCGCTTTCAGACTGGGGGAGTTCCGTCGCCTGATTGAATCTGCTGAGCTGCTGTTGCTTGTGGTGGAGAGATATTCGGGGTCCTGGCTGAACCCGACGTCCTCGTATGCTTCTTCTATGGCGCTTTGCATTTGCTTTACCATGACGTGAGGCAACCGGTATTGCCTGAAGAGCGTTGCGCTCTCTCCTTCCTCATGTAGCCGGACTCGTTCTCGACTGTGGGACCACTGGGAGATAGAGTGCAAGAAGAAAAGCGGGAGGACGATGGATAAGAACAGAGCAATAAAGACCCAGAACAAGGCCGTGGTGAAAAATCTCGTTATTTGCTCCCACACACGAGAAGCCAATGGCAAAGACTCTTTCACCTCCGCTGAAGGCAGAAAGTACATATCTGGGTCAATTACAACAGGCTCATACCCCTTAACATAATTAACCTGCGCGTCGCCCAGATCACGGAAAGGATCCACCAACGAAAGCGTGGTTGTATAGAAGATTGTAGTGCGATCATTGACAACATTTCCATAAAGACTGCGGTTCTTGAACTTTGCCAGAGCCCACACGAAGATACTATCCGGATCCGCCAAAATGCTAAGCAGCGGCCGCCCCGAGTCCCCAAAAGAATCAACCAAGAACAACTGCTGCGCTGATATAGACCCCTGCCGGGGCCCTACGTTATTCCAGATATAGCCCCAGACACCCTGTCGGGGAATCCGCACGCCAACATGTGGCGACACGAAGGTTGTGAAGTTGACCGGCTCTAGTTTATCGAACCACCCTCGTGCGTCGAGCAATCCTATTGCATATCTGGCTAGCAGGCCTCCGAATGAGTACCCGACGACACTCAGTTTCCGGATAGGACATCCTTGGTCGGCTAATGTACCCAGCGTTTCTTCGATCTCGTGAGCAACCCGCTCGCCGCCGACTTCGATCCCATCGTATGTGAGATTTCCGATGTTGCGCTCTGCGACAAGAACGTGGAGGCGGTCCTCACTGTATCGCTGGCGCAGTGACGCTGCTAGGTGGTCCATATGAGAGGGGTTGCCCCAGAATCTGCCATAGTATTTATTAGCAGATGTCGTGGTGGCCGGTTCGATACCATGCCCTTACCCATGGATCAAGACACAAAGGTGGTCGGCTTTCCGCGGAATGCCGCTCTCGTCCCCCTGGTGGTTACTTGGGCCCATAGTTCATAGAAAGGATTGCTAGTCCCTTGTAAATATCTATGTTCTGTATATGTTGTGAGTTCCTTCGGTTGAGGATCAACGGATGTTCTCCGTCGTCTGTAGATGGTTATCTATAGTGATTACCAAGCAGGTGTCTGCCTAATTCAGTTCCTGCGCTATGACAAGTCTTCTTGTAATGCTGTTCGTGTATATGACTTTGGTATATAGGTTGAGAAGATGAAGGAAAAGTCTATCAATGGCAAAGTGCTGAGATCCTACTACATCGCCTTCTCAGGGGCATGATTGATTGCTGAACTGATAAGTGCAACATCGGAGGCAACACTGATGGCGTACACCGGCGCGCTTGGGCCAATCAAAGCGTTTCAAACCAGGGAAATCACGTGGGTCTATTCTCAATAGCTTCACGATAAGAGACTGGCGAATATCTAGTGAATCTGGGGGTCTAGGCGGGTATGTCTGAGATAGATTCCAAAAGACTTACAGTTATCATTCCAGTTGTCATGCTGCATGTGTGGTTTGCTGGATAGAAGTTGGTGACCCTAGAGTTTCCATATTAGTGCGTTTCACAGTATATATATATCACGCAAGATAGCAGCATAGTTTGATTGACATTAAAGTCAACATTTTGCAATCCCCTTATTCCTTGTATTCCTTCGAATAGTCATCATCTACCATTCGAAGTGTTTCTCAGCTACACGCATGCAGTATATCTGTACCTGTCGACTGCTGCTATACATCAACGTTGATGCCTTACCAATACGGCAAGAGATTTGCGACGTTTGCATCGTTTGTTCGAAGCACCGCGATTCACCACATATACTGTTCTCTAGATGATGCACTTCATTGTACTCGAAGGTATATGCTATATACCCTGTCCTCCTTGCAGACGAGGTCACTAGGCTTTTCTTCCGATGCAGTAATTCATTAAAACCGACTGGAACTGAGAAAAGGCTGGCGTTCTATTGCTACTTCTCGTCCACCAATTTAGGCCAGATCGAAAGCACTCAAGAATAAAAATATGCTGGAAATGACCAGTTTTGTCTAACTTGCACACGCAATTGGCCTGAGACATCTGTGGTCATACTTCTGTGGTGACCAGTTACGCCTCAGCAAGGCCTCAGGAGTAAGAGCCTAAATACTATCTCGGCCATATTTATGCTATCAGTTTGCATTTCTTTCATTTTATGATCAGCCTACTACAACCTTGATACAATCACAATGTTTACTCCGCTTGGCTTGTTCAAGGATATACCCTGTCCTCAGGGCCAGGAATGCGCTCTCTTGACTTGCATGTTCTCTCACGAAATTACCAACCCACCCGCAGAAGTCGACAAAAGCGCCAAGAGTACGCAGTCAGAAAAGGAGCTCACTGCTACTCAGGAGGCGCCACCCCTCAAGAAACAAAAGCTTCAGGCAACGGCCGAGGTTGGCAGTGCCAAGAAGGAAGACAAACCTTTACCTTCACTCCAGTACGAAACTAGTGATCAAAAAGCTACACCGACAAAGAAGGCCAGTACCAAGGCCCAAACAACAAGCCAAACCCCTGCAAAACTTCAGTCTATATCCAGGGATGTCTCCCCGCCTCCTTCTAAGGCCGAGCCTTCAACAGCGAAGCGTGAGGTATCGGCATCTGCAAAACCGGAGCAACGTCCCCCGCTACGCAAAGCTCCCCGCGAGAGTCTGAATCCTAGGATGTTGGCCAAAGCGCCGGTGTCTCATGGCGTGCGGCTATCTATTTTGACGAAGCTTCATGCTGCTATGTCAGCCCTGAATGCCAAGATGGCGAAGGACAAAGAAAATAAAGATAAAAGCATAATCTTAACGCCAAACGAACTCATCACGATGGCTCTAGATGAAGAGGAAAAGACGGCGAAAGGGAATGCGAGTGTATACGGCAACGTTATCAAACTCCGCATTGTTAAACTCTCGAAGATGAGCAAGGAAGATTGGGTGAAGGAGGTCAAAGCTCATCTCAATGAGAGATACTACAAGACAGCGCCTAGTGAAGCAGACCAGAAGCCTACTGTTCTTACAACTGGCCTGAGCATCAAAGAGGAAATAGCAATTGCAGGAAGACTAGTCACGCCTCTTGTAGGACTGGAACAATATGGTTACGTGACAAAACCACCCACAGACGAGGAGATTGAGGTCGCAAGGAAAGGGGTCATCGAGTCTAAAGGATGGGAAAAGTGTGATCGATGTGGTGGAAGATTCCAGGTCTTTCCTGGCCGCCGTGAGGATGGTTCGTTGACAACAGGAGGGCAGTGCACATACCACCCTGGCAAGCCGTTTTACCCTCCAAAGAAGCGAACGGATCATATTACTGGCCATAAGGAGGCCTATTTCACTTGCTGCAATGAGACCCTGGGGACTTCTTCTGGATGTACCAAAGGCGATACCCATGTCTTCAAAGTGTCGGAGGCCAAGCGGCTGGCGTCCATTCTTCAATTCGAGAAGACTCCCGCGCAACCAGACAAGGGCCCCCTTCCACCAGTATGTTTCGACTGTGAGATGGGATACACCACCTTGGGACTGGAGCTGATCCGGCTCACGGCTGTTAGTTGGCCCGAGGGCAAGGAGCTCCTCGATGTTATTGTCAGGCCTATGGGGGAGATTCTTGACCTAAACTCGCGGTTTTCTGGTGTCTTCCCCGAGCATTATAATAACGCGGCACCCCACGATGGCTCAGCTACGCCGGTCATTTCATCTGCCAGCGAGGATGGAGAGGTAAAATTAACGCCTTTACAGGTAGTGGAATCTCCCGCAGCAGCAAGGACTTTATTGTTCCAGCTGCTACAACCAGAGACACCTCTAATAGGGCATGCCATTGATAATGACCTCAACGTTTGCCGTATTATCCATCCTACCGTTATTGATACCGTTATACTATACCCAATCGGAGCAGGCCTACCCAACCGCATGAGCCTTAAAACTCTATCCAGAAAATACCTTGATAGGCACATACAGACTGGAGGGAATCGTGGCCATGATTCCAAAGAGGATGCGATTGCCACTGGGGACTTGGTCCGGGTCAAGGCTGCAGAATCTTGGAAGGTGTTAAAGACAAAAGGATGGATTATTCAGGATGATAAACTTGTCCCTCCGGCCGGTGCAACAGATGATACTGGTCCGATATGGCGACTTGGACCTGGAGCCGGACAGAAGAGGACCAGTTCTGATTTAGTTTAACTTAGGATTTCCACATCATAGCTGATTTACTAAATGATACCCGACAAAAGGCGATTTCTATGCAGTCTACGTGGATATAAGGAGCAAATGGGAGATAGATGGATCAATTCAAATCTACCAGTCGTAACGTCATGAGTAGAAATATTACACCAACACGTTGGATGCGACGAGGCTAGCCATGGAATGCCACCTTTTCAGGTTGAGGCAACCCGGCGGGTATATCACGCCGCAGAGCCGCGTCGGAGCGCTCCCGACCAACCGCATCTATAACCCTCCAAACCGGACCCAAAGCACCGACTCCCATTAAGATATCGCTCCCGTCCAGATATGGAAACCCCCTGATGTGAGCGCACTCGAGCCTGGTCGTTTGTTTAATTTTTTTTTATCCCAGAGAGGAGACATTTACTCCTCATCCTCGTCAGCCTCCTCGCTGGCGACGTTGTAGAAGCGGAGCTCGTAGACACCCTTGGAGGTGGCGACAACGCGGAGCCAGTCACGGAGCTGCTGCTTCTTGAGGTACTTCTTGGTCCTGGGTGGCCGTCAGTATCATGGTCGCGGGTATCATGCGACGGATGCGAGCAACTTACAAGTACTTGAGGTAGCGACCAGAGAAGGGGATGTGGGCAACAACCTCGATCTTGCCATCGCCGACCTGGGAGATGACGACCTTGTCACCGAGGTTGCCGACACGGCCCTCGACCTTGATGCGGTCGTGAAGGAACTTCTCGAAAGCGGAGATGTCGAAGATCTTGTCGCTCACGGGCTGAGAAGCGTTGATGACATACTACAGAGATAGCATGTTAGCGATCATCGAATTGTTTGATTAGATTGTGAATTAATATCAAGACATACCTTCTGGGTAACCTTCTGGGCCTTGCGACCACGAGCCTATTCACCGGAATTTTGCGATTAGCCTACTGTTCCATAATGTCGAATCCCCAGGGAGTCCAGGACGGTATCCTGCACAAGCTAATGTGAAGAGACCATCTGGCTGCCGTCTCAGGGGGAACAGCAAAGCAGTTTCAGGATTGACAACATACAGTAGCGGGAGACATTGTGATTGATTTGAGGGGGGTTGGTGACGAGGGAGTCTTGGTCGCAAAGAGATGAGTATCCTGCGCCTGGAGTGAAGATAGCAGAGGGATGGAGATCTAAAACTTCTCGCTAGTGGAGCCTTCAATCCCACCGGCGAGTGCGAGTGACTAATCCGGATTGGGAAGTCATACTAGGGTTGGATGGTGATTAGGGTATCCAGCTATCATCTGACCAAACTCCTCATTAGTAATAGTTTGTCTCGTTTGTCCTCTCGCTTAACCGAGGACGAAGACACTAGCTGACTAGCCCCGCACGGGCCACTGGCCCTTCCCTTTAAATACTCTGCAGACCTCCCGATCTTTAGAATTTTTTTCTTTTCTTCTCCAGCTCTCTTTGCCTTTTGGCTTAGATCAAGTGTAGTATCTGTTCTTTTCAGTTTAATCTCTGAAAGTGTTCCATAGGAACACAACATTGATTAATCTTATTTTTGGTCTCCGTGGCAGGGCCCCTGTGCTTGCGCATGCCTTGCCACACAGTGTCATCGGGCTTACACTATCCCCGATAGACGCGAACTCCTTTTTCATCAATTCAGTCGGTATATCCGGCTGCTTGGAGAAGAAGATTCCAGTAGACTGTATGGAGGAACATTTTAGTGTCTGTATATAGCTCCCCCAAGTGATGTGCTGTGTATATAGAGCTACTTTTAGTGTCGAACAATATTGTTGCACGTGATATATTGAGTATCATTTCCTGCCCAAGTTACATTCCAATCACTTGGATATACATCACTCTTCACTCAATAACGCCATAACGTCGACATGGGTTCCGTCGTCCTGCCGCATTTGCGTACCGCTTGGCACGTCGACCAGGCCATTCTCTCTGAAGAAGAACGACTCGTAGTACGTACCCAGTTAGCAGTCGCGTCACCATATATGCCCAGACTGACAAGTACGGACAGGTCATTCGATTTGGCCGCGACCATGATGTCGACTGTAAGTCCTTTCGCTATATGCACAAATTACGACGATGTCCTAACCGTCCCCCAGGCATGCGCCAAGATGAAGTTCTCTTCAAAATCGCTGAGCGGGTCAAAAGTGAGTCGGGCACCCTCACCCAACTATCACAGAAAAAAAAACTTGCGCTCCAGCTCCAAACCAGCTCTGCTGCGCACGAAGTGCCCTTGTGAGATAAACAAATACCTAACATTCCATCCAGATTTCGCCGTGATTTACCTCTGCGACATTGACGAGGTCCCTGAGTTCAACACCATGTACGAACTCTTCGATCCAATGACCATCATGTTTTTCTATAGAAACAAACACATGATGTGTGATTTTGGTACCGGTAACAATAACAAATTGAACTGGGTGCTCGAGGATAAGCAAGAATTGATCGATATTCTTGAGACGATCTACAAGGGTGCCAAGAAGGGACGAGGTCTCGTGGTTAGCCCGAAGGGTGAGTTGCAGCTTCTGTCAAGTACTTTCGATTGATGTTGAGCTAATCGACTTCTAGATTACTCGACGAGGTACCGGTACTGATTTGCTTCGGTCGTTGGTTGGGCTGCTGCTCTGTGTTCTTAGGCCCAATACCAAGATAATGAAAAATGTTCATGACGTATATACTTATCTTCTCGGCTTTATGCTGTATAAGCGCGATCCCTCGGTTTATCTCAGTAAGGTGACCATAGGATATTCCATAGATTATATATTTGTGCATAAGCTGCCAGTTTTCCATCTACCTCGTGGATCGTGTATATTCTTGCTTCCCTTCGTAATACTACACCATAAAAATCAATGATGCCAAGGGGTAATGGCTATTGAATAACTATGTTATGTCATTCAAACACTACTGTAGTCTATAGAGATTGAAGATTCATTCATCCAACTACGGCCAACAACGCGGACAACTTCAGGCCCCACAATCTCTTCACTTTATTTTTACCTGACGTAAGGTCGACCATCCGCATCAAATCCAATCCCACCTACAACAAGAAAATATAGAACAACAAACTCACCCAACCAAAACACAAATAATAAACAAAATGATCGACCGTACCATTTTCGAGAGCCTTCAGTCTAAGATCGACGAAGAGGCTACTGTGCGCGATGTACGTGCCAAGCCTTTTCCCGCTCGAGCGTCAGAGAAGTCTCATTCTGACCTATTACCAGGAACTCCATGAGATAGTCCAGACGCTTGCTAGAAATGGTCTGTCGCGTCAATGTTGCAACTACCGTGTTTCCATTTAACATTGTGGGAAGAGGTATGCTCAGAGCTTCGATTGACATATCAGAACAGGACGCTCCACAACGGCTATCCTCTCTCGAGCTCATTCCACACCCTCAAATCAGTGTAAGTAGCTTCCTCAAAGAGAAGGAAAAGATCAGTTTGCTAACAACATCAGTGAAACCTGTCCTCGATGAGGCGACAAAGGAAATCCTTGCCCAGAAAGAACAAGTCACTCGGCTCAAGGCCTTGGCTGACAAGCACCCGTTCTACAAATATAACGGCGTGTGGACTCGTGAACTGCAAAATCTGGTTTGTTACATGTCTTTTAATCCTAGTGAGAGATAGTAACGAGGACTAATACTGTGAATCAGGTATCGTCTATTGAGCTCTGTGCTTACTTGGGCGGGCTTGAGGAGTACAAGAGTAGTCGTGCTGCGTCGTTCCTGACTATTGAGGAGGTTGGGAAGTTCCTTGATGGTATGTTCCTTGCATAAGGGGTTGACGCCCTTGATCTATGATGCTAATGTGGGTGTTTAGTCCCCGTCAACCTTAAGGAACAAGATGCGTTCCATCTGACGATCGAAGAGTATCTGCTCGCTCTGATTTCTATGGTCGAGGAACTGGTTTGTTGATCTCCTTTTCATTGTCTGCTTGTCTTAAAATGTACTGACGTTCATAGTCTCGTCTTGCTGTCAACTCGGTCACTCTTGGGGATTACGCACGACCGGTGCAGATTGGAAGTTTCATCAAGGATCTGTTTGCCGGGTTCCAGCTCTTGAACCTGAAGAACGACATCCTGCGCAAGAGAAGTGATGGGATTAAATACAGTGTAAGTTTATCTAATGTCGGAAATTATGTAATGGATAAATGGTAACACCGTGCAGGTCAAGAAGGTTGAGGATGTCGTGTACGACCTTTCTTTGCGGAACCTGATCCCGAAGGGCGGTGACAACGCCTAGTTTGTGGATAAACAGAAGCATACATAAATTAATGCATAATGGCGATTAATTTATAATCTCATGACACTAGTTTCATGCTAGTGGGCTGGAAGTGCCCCAAAGAAAAAAAGTACATACAAGAAGCACTACTAAGGTACATGTAACGAAGTATGGTATAAAATATGGACTCCCACTCCCCGAAAAACTAAATCACGACAACTTAGCCTGCTCAGACTCTCCCTCCTTAGCCTGAGCCGAAGCTGCAGATCCATTCTTCTGTGACTTCTCAATCTCCTTGACGATGGTGTCTTCCAGCGACTCGGGCTTGGTGGTACTAGCCCAGCGACCAACAACCTTGCCCTCGGGAGAAATCAGGAACTTTTCGAAGTTCCACTTGATGCGCTTCAGGCCCAGCAGGCCGGGTTGCTGCTCCTTCATCCAGGTCCACAGGGGCGAGGCCTCGTTTCCGTTCACATCCAGCTTGCCCAGCACGGGGAACGTAACGCCGTAGTTCAATTGGCAGAAAGACTGAATATCATCGTTGGAGCCGGGATCCTGACCGCCGAACTGGTTGCAAGGGAATCCGAGGATGGTGAAGTCTTCGGGGTACTTGGTCTTGAGCTTCTGGTAGAGTTTCTCGAGGCCTTCGAACTGGGGAGTAAAGCCGCACTTTGAGGCGGTGTTGACGACGAGGATGGTCTTGCCCTTAAGCGGGGTGAGGGGGAAAGGCGAGCCTTTCTCTATTTGCAAGGAGGTCTGTTAGTACTACTCCCGTATGTAATATCGGGGATTGACAAGGAGCTTATCAGCAAAAACGTACTGTCGACAGGTTCAAAGTCGAAGAAGGTGGTTGCGGAAGCCATGGTGTGCGTATGAAATGCGCTCAAACGAGGTGGTTGATGCTTGAGTAGCTTAGCGGAGCTTGACAGCGTTGACGAAGAATACCTGCTCTGCGACCTTGCGACAGGGCTGGTTATATGCGCGAGGAGGTAAGTTGGTGGTTTCTGAGATGATAAAGCACGTAAGATGATGGACGTAGACGTTAAGGTTGATCGCATGCTTTTATACAGCGATCCTGAGGTTTTGAGGAAGCAGTACGTGAGGGGCGTGACGGAGGAAGGAAGAACCCGAGCCGGCATGTCATCATCGTGCTGCGGGCGATTTGCCCGTTTGGTACATTTCGTCAACGGAAATGCATATTCCGGCTAACCAGATTGGTCATCTTTGTCATCTTTTTCAGTCCAGACTGTTGCACACGCACTGTAACCGACTTCCATCATTTGATCCGTGGGTTCTGGTGGGGGTGGAACTAGGAATCTAGTGTCTGAGGAGTCTGATTAGTGATCTAGTGTACATAAAATAAGAATTGATTAAAGTTGATCAAAAAGCATGGCCTGCGGGGCTCATCTCTTTTCCAGAATTCCAAATACTTTGAAACAGCCCACATGAACCCAGAGGATCTACACCGTACTAGCCTCGGACAACGGGCCTCGGGGCAAGGAACCAGCCAAGAACTGTATATACTCTTTTTGGCTCACATGCTGTGAAGCACCGGGTGCTTATGCAGTCTCAAATGACATGAATATCGTTCATAAGCCCTGTATAGTTGAGGTGTGTCTATTACACATCTATCAAGACATCGACTGTTCTAGAAACTAGGTATTCTGTACGGCGTAGCAGTTCGGCATCTGAAGCAGACATCCGAGTCCCGACTCTCCAGCCTCAGGCACACTAGATACTCTACTCTAGTTGTAGTAGCCAGGCTGAAGAGAAAATTAACACTAACAGTGATATCGATACTAGTAGTAGCTGGGTAAGTGATAGTCCGGGCGTACCTTATGCATACTCCGCTCCATGATCAGGTCACCTGCCGGATACAGTTAACCCATCTTGGCGGATGCCATTGCGATTCGCTGACCCCCAATATAGAAGATTGACTATCGACATTCAGCAACAAATAATGGATCTCATAGGCTGTCGTCCCCAAGGTATGTCCAACGTGGAATATCAGAGGCACTACGAATTCCGCGGACGGGAATGATGTGCTCATAGCCAGGGGCTATGTCGATTCCGTTATCTTGCAGCCAAACGCCATCTGTCTCCTCAAAGACCAAACCCTTGACTGGCTTTTTGACTGTGACGGACAGCGCGTTCTCCGCAGGAAGAAGTTTGACCTCTAGACCCCTGTCTCGGAATGAGAGGTACTTGTAAGGTTGCGGCCAATCCACGTCTCGACTAATTACCTGATCATCAATACTCAGGGTGGCACTCAGCACAAATGCATCTGTGTCTTTTAAACTCAAATCCCCACTTGCTACTTCCGTTGTACCGTTTGGAATGAGAACAACCTGGTACGAAACTTCTGGCTGCACATCTGCACCCGTTCGAATTGATATGAAGCGTAAGCTTACCGTAGCGCGGGTCGGCTTCAGATGGCTGGTCACGGCCCAAAGCTCATATCTGGTCGAGTCTGCAGGTTTGGCATGTCCAGATGTCCATTCCTTGTGAGCTCTGGAAATACCAACTGCAACTGGCTCCAAAGTCCGCGATATGACATAGAATGCAGGCTTCTTTCGCAAAAAGTAGTCCACCACCGCCCATGAGGTCGTCGGCCAACAGTCGTTTAGTTGCCAAACCAGGGCTCCCCCACAGAGGCGGCCGTGGCCCCATTGTCGACGCCAGCCCTGATACGCAAATTTCATAGCGTCGGATTGAGCAATCTGAGAGAGATGTACGTATGACTTATGAAACATGTCTAGTTAGCACTTGTAGCTTTCTTCTTCTTTTTTTTCTTTTTCAGCGTCGAGGCAGAAACTCCCATCGACCTACCTGAAAATCAGATTTGATTCGGAAATTCTCAAGGATGTAAGTGCCGAGTCGTCGTTCGTGGTCCCTGGCCTTGTTGTGGAAGTCCATGGTGAGAGATTGATGGTACATCTCATCCTCATCTATAATAAATTGCTCGATTGTCGCTCGATGTGGGAACGCTTCCATTCCGAATTCACTGACAAACCGCCCACCAACTTCGGGAAAGTTTTGATAAGGCAACATTGTTCCGTGCCAGACTGTGTCGACATTAGTGAAAGTTGTCATTATAGGGGAGTTGTGACAGACTGTTCCACTGATGGATATCTCCTATTGTGGGATCTGCTGAATGCTTTCCTCCTCCCCAGGGACTTGTTGGGTGGTACGGTGTCGTGGGTGATTCTTCCTCTACAACCTTCGGCAATAGGTACTCATAGGTGTACCTGGCAGGAAATGTTGACTTGAGCCACAACTGCGGATCTTTGTCAGTCTCGAAGTTATAGTCGAGATGATATTTTTCTTGAATCTGGTAGTCTTCATTACTTCCTGCGTATATCACGATGGAGGGGTGATGACGAAGACGCTTGACGTTCACACGTGCTTCTTCCTCGATGGACGACAAAAAGGATGGATAGGTGGGATATGAAGCGCATGCAAACATGAAGTCTTGCCAGACTAAGATCCCGAGCTCGTCACAAGTGGAGTAAAAGGTGGACGGTTCAAAGATCCCGCCGCCCCAGATGCTCATAACCCGTCAATGGCAGCTAAGGCTTCAGGGTGAGGATGCAAAGGACTTACCGGATCATATTCTGATTTCCCTCTACCAACAATTCGAGCCATTTGCTGTACCTCTCGGGAGTCAATCGAGGAAGGAAGCTGTCACCCGGTATCCAGCATGAGCCGCCGGCAAAAATGTCAATACCATTAATCCTGAAAAAGAAGGATTGGCCGTATTTGTCTTTCTCTTGAACAAGCTCGACACTCCTGAACCCGGTCAACTTGGAGACCTCATGTTGTACCTCATGATTGTCAATGAGATTAACGCAGATTTCATGCAGGTCTTGCCGACCATATCCGCGCGGATACCATAGTGCTGGGTTCTGGATCACGAATTCTGTCTCTGCAAACCCATCCCCCGTAGCACTTACTTCAGACTCAAAAAGCACCTTATTCCGGAGTAGAAGCTTGAAGTGAACGCTACTTCCTGGTCTCCCAGACACTTGGGCTTTAAGACGACCTCGACAGAACTTCAGATCCTGGCTTACTTCGCTCTCCACCCACACGTCCTCCACCCTAGCCGTATAGGTCTCTAGCCGAACTGGCCTCCACGGCCCTGCCGTCATCAGAATAGGACCCCAATCCCAGCCCCAATGATACCCAGCCTTTCGGACCGAACTCCTCCCAGCTTCCGTTTGATGTGTAATAAACCGGTGCTCGGGATGTTGCTTAACACGCTCCCGTCCACACAGTAGAGCAGACTCAAACAAGATATCAAGCGTCATGGTGCTGCCAGACTCCGGGACCAAATGTTTCGTAATATCAACCCGATGGGGAACAAACATATTATCGCTCTTAAGGATGGTTTCGCCGTTCAGTTTGACAGTCGCGATAGTATCTAGGCCTTCGAAGAGGAGATCGCACCGTTGACCGGCCTCAAGCTTTGGTGGCACAAACTCGACCCGATATACCCAGTCTCGCTCACCCACCCACTGCACCTGAAGCTCGTTCATCCCGATGAACGGGTCGAGTATTACACCGTGATCGATGAGGTCGAGGTGCACAACGGTTGGTACCTTGGAAACGCTACGCCACGCTTCTGGACTGGTATCGCTAGCATCCCGGAATTGCCAGCCCTGCGAGAGCTCGAGCGACTTGAAACCGGACATTGCTGTTGTTTTACCTTATCCAGCAAAAAGCTTGCAGTAGCTGAAGCACTAGATCAAGTAAATCTATCCATACAAAGATTCAACAGAAAACATAAGGAGAAAAGACAAAGAAAAAAAGCATCATAAACATCAATACCATATTGTATTATTCATATTGACCCCCACTGCCCCTCACCCCGCAAAATCCAATCAGCCATAGTTACCAAATGATAATGATCTTGGCCTATTATAACCAATAAGACATATCTCACTATGACAAAGTACTGCGAAGCCAACTCCAAATCCCACGTCTACATGGCACACGGCATTTTAAAAACCGCGTGCCAAAATGGGTTTAGTGGATCGTCCCATGCATGGGCTATACTGTATCAGACACGGAGTTTTATATCCGCGCATCATGATACCGTGGCCGTACGGTTGGTGCGTAATTCACTGTATTCTATGGGAGGTCATTGTGTGCTGCTATGAGGGTTGCAGAGGTTTTCGGTGGTTGGACTTGAGTTGACTGGGGATGTAGACCGCTATGACGTGGACTGGTTTTTAGAGTATGATTCTGGAAGAAAGGTTACATGTCCTGTTATTTAAATTCATATTCTAGGGAAACTCGATTTACGGTAATTGACTATGGTAGATTTGCATTTATGTGCTTATTTGGGATTATTGGAACTATGTCATTGAAGCTTATGGGTTCTATCATGCATATCGAAAGCATTGAAGCTCAGAACTTGGCGCGGGCTGGAAATGCCCTCTCCACTGACGACATCGAGCTTCCGGAGTTGAAGGTCTGTGAGTCCACGAGCTGGGTATTTACCTGGAGTGATTTTAGCAATTGTATAACGGTCAGGACATGACAACCCACATGCTGCAATGACAGCTGGTCAACACGTTGAACACCGAGAAGTCTCATAGCAGTTGCTGTTTCGTCGGCAAGGACTAAACAAATCAGTTATGAATCATGATAAGCTCGCTACATGCTCAGCGATTGTGATAAACCTACTGTGTAGTGTCCTTTCGACACCCTCTTGCCCACCCGCTGCAAGACCATACAACGCTGCTCGTCCAATCCCCACAGCCTTAGCACCAAGTGCCAGAGCCTTGACAACATCCGTTCCTCTTCGGATACCACCGTCAACGATGACATCCAATCGATCCAAGACCTCCGGACAGAAGCGCCTAATCTCCAGTAGGACATGCACTGGAGTCGACACTGTGTCCAATGCGCGGCCACCGTGGTTCGAAAGCACAATACCCCTGACCTAGGGAGAGTGTTTAGCGGCGAGGATAGCGTCCTCATAAGTCTGAATACCCTTCAGAACAATCGGCAGGGATGTATGTATCCGGAGCCAATTGAGCGTTCTCTCCCATGTGAGCGAGGCATCAGTTCCCCAGACCTGGGGCGACGAAGCCGCGCCAGCGGTGCGCAGCTCTTCCATCTTTTGTCGCTCCTCGATCTCGCGTTTACCGGGGAATGGAGCGTCAAGGGTGAGACAGATGAATTTGATAGCTTTGATTGAGTTGATTTCGGCGATCCGCTTCTCACTACGCCGCACGTCTTTTAGGCAATATAGTTGCCAGCCGAAGACTTGGTCTGGATGGGCGTTGGCGATAATTTCCTGTGTCACCATCGAGGCGTTGTGGGAGATAAGTTGCATCGCCCCGAACTTTCGGCACGCTGCTGCAATGCCAGCTTCGCCTTGTGGGTGGGCGAGACGAGCCATTGCTGCTGGAGATATGTAGATTGGTAGTCCGAGTTTGAGACCGAGGAAATGGGCGGAAAGATCGCATTCGCGGCAGTCTATGAAAACTCGTGGTCTTAGTAAGATCGAACGGTAGATGAGATTGTTGTGCGCTTTTGTGATGCTGTTGTCCGTTGCAGAGGAGTAATATGCCCACCCTTTTGGGCTGAGTTTTCGCTCGGCAACTTGTTCGATCTCGGCGAGGTTTAACAGTGACGATAGTGGTGCTTCCTCGGAAGTCTCTTTAGATGCTGTGTGTTGGGGAATGCTTGTTGGCTCTGCAGTCTCTGACGTGGATGCGGATAGGACGCCCAAGCATGCCTCAGGAGCAAGGTACTCTTCTAATAAACCTGGCGGATGTATGGTATCGTACTCCTGTGTTGCATCTTTCCCAGCCAAGGCCAGGATAGCCGCAGAGCCCCCGGGATGATTTTCGAGAAAGTTAGTGACCTAGATTTGTTAAATGGAATGCGCTTGATGAGAAAGTTGTCGGGTTCTACTCACGTCGTATACTTTGCCATAGAGGACAACCCAGCAACTATCGGCGGAGTTGTGTTTGGCAACTAAGTCACATCAATTAATTTTGCCTTCATACTTTCCTGTTCAGTGACTTACTTTCCCGGCGCCCTATCATAGCAAAGCCTTGAAGGACCTAACAAGACAACTGACGGGTTTAATTTGACACGGCGTTAGTGGCCAAAGCAAGGTGATGCAGCGACACCTTTCATTATTGCTCGCAACATCTGAGGAGAAACGTTGTGCCCCCACGCTTCCGACAAGGCATATCAACGTTGATAGCACTAGTAATCGATGATACCGGGAGGTAATAAATCTTGTCATCCGGTCTAAGCTCCAACCAACTGGAATCACAGCCACCCAGTCTCATACGATTGGCACAACGTAATGCGAAGATGGTAAGTGTGGGGATAGACATTCTGTCCTTGGCAAAGGCTTCCCCGTGGGGATGTATAAATCCTAGGTGTCGGGGCGCTAAAACAATGCTCTGGAAAACCACTTGGGGATATATAATTATCTGCGTTCCAGTTTGACTTAGATCGAACTCTTGCGATCTGACAGCATGGCTGAGAAAAGAAGAAGTAAAGACCATAATATAGCACCACCTGAGCCTGAGCATCTTGAATCAGTTGGCTCGTCCAATGGCAAAGTCCAAGGAGATCCCCTTACCCTGGCAGAAGTCATTGAAGGAAACCGCCCCGACCCATGGGGCTCGGGGTATAGAGAATTATATTTCATGTCTGCTTTGGTTTTCCTGTGCTCTACTATGAATGGTAAGTATCTCGATTCCCATGATTACTCATGACAGGCAGCGAATACTGGGTTCAGGATACGACACGAGTCTCATGGGCTCTATCAATGCGCTTCCGAACTATATCGAGTATTATAATCTTCCAAATAATGGCTCCGTGAGCACTGGCATTGTTTTCTCCATATTCCAGGTGAGAAGACTGTCCGAGGAAGACAGGTAGAAAAGCTGACCGTCCTCTATTAGATTGGTCAGATGGCAGGTGCACTCTTCATCTGGATGGCAGATTGGCGCGGGCGACGAACGCATATCTTTGTCGGCTGCCTCGGGGTCTGCATCGCCACGGTTGTCACCAGTACAGCAGAAAAGTTGAGTGTCTTCATCGGGGGAAGATTCTTGTTGTCATTCTTTGCGACTTGCGCTCATACAGCCTCTCCATTGTTACTCGTCGAGCTTGCCCCTCCCCAGTATCGCGGGAGCGTCGCTGGAATGTACAACACACTTTACTACGTTGTACGTTACCGATCCAGCTCCCATTCGGAAAAGAAGAGGACCATCTGATTGTCTTACTAGGGCTCCATTCTGGCGACTTCAGCCGTGTATGGCGCCCATCTCCACTTGGCACACCGTGGCCAGCTTGACTGGCGCCTTCCACTCTGGCTCCAGATGGTATGCCCTGGACTTGTCTGCTTGGGTATCTGGTTTGTCCCAGAATCGCCCCGCTGGTTGGTTATCCTCCTCTGAAGAGAAGACGAACATTAAAAGCGTACAGGCTCATTGCAAAGGATCGCCATGAGGAGGCCCAATCCTTCATCGTAAAGTATCATGCTAATGGCGAAGCTTCACATCCAATTGTGGTGCTTGAGATGAGCGAAATGAGGGATAATTTACAATGGGAAGAGATTACACGTTGGCGTGATTTCTTCGATCTTTCAGTGCTTGTCAAGTCCCGTTCTCGCCGGTATCGTCTCATGCTCAATCTGGCCTTTAGCTGGTTTGGACAATTCTCTGGGAATAAGTCAGTCAGCTCATATGTGCTTCTTGGTAGGGGAGAAAGACGACTAACGTTCCATGCAAAGCGTCATCTCGTACTACCTTCCAACGCTCCTGGAAAATGTTGGAGTCACCAATACCGACACTCAGCTACTGCTTAACATTATCTATGCGTTGACTGGTTGGATCGCGGCCACGATTGGCACTCGCTTCCATGACATTGTTGGCCGCCGGAAAATGTTTCTTGGTTCCACCGCTGGTATGGTCATTTGTTTGGCAGTCACAGCAGCAACAGCCGCTGTCTTCGTTCACAGTGGCAGCACGACTGCATCGTCAGCTTCGATCGCTTTTATTTACATTTTCGGTGTTGTATTTGCGTTCGCTTTTACTTCCATGCAGCCGATCTATCCCGGCGAAGTCATGTCAAACGATATGCGGGCTAAAGGTATGGGAACATTCAAACTCACAGCAGGTGCCGCGGGCTTTGTCAACACCTTTGCGGCACCGATCGCTCTGGCAGATGTAAGTTCATAACCCTCCGGGCTGTCTAGCCAGGTTCCCCTTGCGCCAAAGGCAACAGCTGACAATGATAATCCATCATAGATCGGGTACTGGTTCTATGTCTTCTTTGTTTTCTGGGATTGCTTCGAGTTTGCTTTCATCTACTTCTTTTTTGTTGAGACCAAGGGGCGTACCCTAGAAGAACTGGAGGAAGTGTTTGAAGCTCCAAATCCTCGCAAGGCGAGTCTCAAGGTTCCACCACGACGTCGCCGTGTTGCAGAACCGTAAATATTGAAATGGCGTGAACATACGTGTTCATTGATCTAAACGCCGATCCTCCTGAAGATCGCCAGAAATGAAACAAGCCTATGTAATAGATAGCGTGAAATGTACACTTCGAGTAGTCTGGTCATTTGCCTGGCCAGTTGTCGTCGATGATCCTAGGCTATTTGCAGAATCATGCCCTGCTGGATTTCGTCGAGCTCTGCCTTTTTGAGAGGGTCTTTGCCGTCATAGCTGCTCCCCCGGTGTTCTGCGCTGCTCATCCCCGTGATGTCATGTCGAATTCCTCCAATCTTAGGCTTCTTTCTCTGCTCTCCGTGGAGATTTTCATACTGCTTAAGGACAGCAGCCCATCCCCAAGGGTCCTTTTTGGCGGGGGGTAATTCGACTTCATCCAAGTCTTCAACACAACTGTCGATGCTAGACGGGCCGCGCAACTCAATGTTGTATTTCTTAGCATAGGCTAGAATCTTTTGGTCTGCGTCATGGAACTCTGCAACCTTGTTCGTCTTATCGTCATTGTCTTCGCAAATACCGTAGTCATGCATGTCGGAAGCTGTACATATGTACAGTGCCATAACCAAGCCCAGGTTTTTGACTTCCGAATCTGGGCCAAGAAGTTCCTAGGACCCTAGCTTGTGAAGCATAGTGAGGAACATCGCCATAAGCAGACAGAATGTATCGTTCGCGAGATCTCCATCTTCGATTCTGCACCTGTCAGTAGAGACCTTCCGTATAAAGGGAGATCCTCAACGTACTGTGTTATAGGCATGAACATGTCGCCCATGATGGAGAGACTCGCAGCCTTACAGACCGCCCACTGTTCTTTCCAGTCGCCTTCGGCCTCCACAAAATCAAAGACCAGGTTTTGCGCGACCTCTACAAGGCCAAAACCTGCGAAGTCATTGTATACATACATATCGAAAAAGTCCGGGCAGCGTATATCCGCATGAACACGCTGGTTTGTAAACTTCCGCACACCTGCACGTGAGGCCACCCACGGATATCCGGAATGATCTGCGGGAGATTTCTGGCAAAAGCATTTTTTGCCGCCATCGCATTTGGATTTCGACTTGATATCCTCTGCTGAGTCCTCAGGCTCCTCATCTGCACTGCTCGCTGTCTCCCGGTCGTCGTCTTCCTCATCGGTCGCACTAGAGGGTGGGCAAAAGCAGACATACGAAAAGGCATGATCATAGTCTTCTGCCACGAACTTAGCATAGTCGGCGTCTAGGTTGACAGAGACGCAGGCCTTTGACCAGCGCTTGCTTCGCCGCTGTTCTAATCGGTCTTGGGACTCTTGGCCGGACGGGGCTGCGCCGCAGAGGCTGAATTGGCACGCTTGCCAGGCATAATAGATTGTAGTAGGATTGACTATGGCTGAAAGGGACTAAGAAACCAGAAGGATAGAAGTATGTTCGATGAAAGGGGTTGGTGGAAGAATGGTGTTGATGTGGACGCGTCTTTCTTTATACTGATCAATAGAAGGGACTATGAACGTGACCTACTGCGACAGGCCCAAAAGCCAAGAATAGCCCGTGACTGTGATCTACATGGTCCCCACTCATGGACTTCCAATCATCTGTTCAAGTATACATGGCTGGAAGATATGTCTATTTTCCATGGGAATTGGGATATTTTGGATTCACGGTCACTCTGGAGGTTCTACCAGGTTACAAGACAGGTGCAGCTTATAGACAGCAGAGGCATCAATATTACTCCAAGTAGAGTACTCCGTAATCGGTGATGTTTATTAAGTCTATCCAAGTATATTCCATTGACTTAATACAGGCTAATACGACGAAGATGATGTATCGAGGCTCCACCATAACATCATACATGTACTGTATAGGTACTGTATACTGCGTACTCCATACAGTCGAGAAACGTCATGGTGGGTCTCGACCCCTGTCACGTGCGGTACTAGACCGTTTCTGCCCCTGAGCCCTACATCCTCTTGTACAAATGCCAATACTCTAGATGTTCATAATAAAACGTGGATACACCGAGAGGAATCTTACCACGCGACCGCAAAACACCTGATTGACCTCTAGGGAGATAAAACGCTTCTAGTGGTGATCATCCTAAGAATAAATCAGTACCTTGATGCAAACCAGATTGACTACACATACAAAACGGGTATGCCTTATCCTCATCTTTTGCCTGCATTACAATTGTCGTCATAGCCTCCAAAGTGGCCGCACGCTCTTCCTTAGTTAAGCATCCAATTCTTTCCAGGTTTCCGAGCGCATCATAAACCCAGTTCCGGCAATCGTAATCAGCTTTAGGATCGTTATTGACTTCTGTTCGTCTGAGTACATCTATGATTCTGTCCTTTGACGCTATTTCTTCTGCAGCAGTTGCAACATAAACAATACCAACACATCTTGGATGATCTTGAGGGTGGATGCCGTCGTGGTGTTCGGTATAGGAAAAGGAGCTCTGTGCACCTGACAAATCAAATAGAGCCTGGGATTGATCAGAAAATTCAATCCAAATGCCTGCGTGTCGAGTTTTAATATAATCCAGCCCGGGTCAGAATGTTTATAAATGGCAACATGTATTTTTGTCGACATCTTGGACAATGCTAGGCTGTGAAGAAGTGAAGGCAGACCTGCTTGGGCGATCGACTGTTGGATAACTCGTTAGACAGCGTTGGCATGGAGGGTATTTAGTCTTCTTGATTTATAGATGTGCAAAAAGGCAATAAAGACCATAATACCCATCTAGCCTGCCTACATAGTTCCATCAATGAGTTTCGAGCTTTGCGTAGACATTATACAACCATTGTACGGAGAGTTTCGTTCCCTATTTTTTGTTGTGTATGCGGAATTACAAAGCAAGACCTAGTTGTGTAGGCTCTCCAGACATGGTGCTGAGAGAGAGCCCCTTAGAGTCAATGCCGTGTATCAGATGTGAAAACCGATCTTATCGGAAGGTTAGACAGTAAGTGTTTGATCTAGGAATGCACTGTCAACGGAATGACTCAGGTCTTTTGTAGGGTTGCATGTTGGGCCCGCCACGTACCAAGGAGTAAGACAGGATTCAGCAGGGCTGTGTGTGATCCAGGGCTCAAAGCGCTAGGAAGAAGTCAGCAAAGAAACGGAGTTGACACAGGGATTATGGTAAGGGAGACAAGTCTAATGATATCTAGAGATTCGTCACAAATGATCGTCACGAGTACATCGAATCGGGACAGAAAAGATGCATGCAATGCCGTCTCTCAAGACTAAGGGAGATAAAACTTCCTTCATGACCTCGAAGCACGTGTGATGCAAATGAAGGCCGGGGCGAGATCATCATGCTTTGTAGTGAACCAGGTCTGAGACAGAGGAACCCTTGTGTTCACAGCCATATGTGTGGTGACACGTACCAGGGATATATTGCGTCATAAACCGTTGCCATAAGCCCGTTCCCTTTTCTATAGATCCATCACGTTATTCAAAGAAGTCGCAAATAGGACAAATAGTATCATAGCCTTTGGGCTTGTATTGATTATAAAAGGAAGCGTTATTGCTGTGCTGTCTCAGAACGCGCACAGGGGGAACGTGTAGGAGAAGCGGAAACATCGTGGACATAGGGCGTTCTCATTTTTTGAGATCCTTCATTCTCCCTCTGAACGAAAAGGATTCTAGGAGGAATTCTTTTAGGCTTTTCAGAACGCAAGTGGCTCTGTGTGCGTCAGGATGAGACTGATGCCCCCAAATATCATTATGAGGATCATTATCGGTACAACCATTAACAAAGGTCATTGCTCTCAATCCAATATGGAAGACGTAAAGGGCCTGCTCACATCTGAATGCGAGAGCACGTTCTTACCTCTTTCCAGCGCTACATTAATTGACCATTCTCGTTGTTGCATAGTTGTCAAACCCATGCGGATCTTTCAGCGCGACTCAGTATCAAGAAACCGAGCATAGCAACCGAGGATCTGCAACTATATGGAGTCACTGGCGCGGTCAAGGAGCGGACTATAACGCAGACCGGCTAACAACTCGTTAAGAAACCATCTCAAGTAGAGTCAAAATTCCCAGCAACTAGTCTCCTCGCATGAAGATCGAGCAGCGTTATCTTGCCCTTCAGGGTTTCGGATATCACCTAGATAGCCATTCAGCAGGTGTAGATGTGCTTTTCAGCGTAGAGGTGCGTATATTTAAAAAAGCGGAAACATTGACCGTCCATATTGGTGTACATCAGCGCTGACACGGAGATCATATACTATGGATATCAAGTTGAGCCACTTCACCTCTCAAGAAAGCGAGTTTACTCCGTGTTAGCCATCTTATATTGCAACTGCAAGATGAATAATATCAATCAAATGGCCTACCAACTTGAAGACATACAAGAGTTGTCTAGCATACGTACAGGAACATTGATACTAGTAGTTTGCCATTGATTCTTTTAACGTGGAGCAAGGGAGACGAATCGACATAAGAGTTAGGGCAGAAAGCTCGGGCCACCTAGGGTTGGCTAGTGTGTATGTATATTTTACAGACAAAGCGTCATCCCTAATAGACTCATTGGTTTCTAAAACTGCTTCTAAGTTCTAACTGATTGAGGTATGTTATATAGATGTTCAGAGACTACTAGCAGAAGTGGATCATCTGCTCTAATGTTTACAGTTGATATATACGCTTTTCTCTTACGAATAATCCCAACTGTTGTCCCGATAAATCAAGAGACGAATATTCCATGACCAATCATATGAGATCGTTATAAGTCTGCCCCCGGGGCTCTCTCCCCTTTATACCAACAATCAGTTCAACAGGTTTTCGAAGGAAATCCTCTGTGACTTTCACTGGTTCCTGTGGTTCTAGGTAGATCTAATGTCAAATAAACGGGAAAGGTTGGCCCAACAAAAGCTCCACTTCAGGCAAATTCCAATGCAAGCTCTAGAGAATAGTCATACAGGAAACTAGTTCGAAAATATAAAATACAACTTTCGATGTATATGTAATAAGTGGTAAGGTCCTTACAAAGTACTGGCTCATGCAGCCAAGCTTACTAGCGCATATTCATGGCCTTCAGCTGGAACCCCTCCATACACTCGGTACACTTGTAGACATTGCAGAGCTTTCGGCAAGAGGCTTCAATCACAAGGCGGCATACAATCCTTTCCAAACATTTCACAATAATGATACCGTTTAGTGTTCCTACGTTAGCTGGCTCAGAGCTCCAATATGTTGAGCACGCTGTACGGAAAGGCACCCTAAGTGGCGATGGAGAATACACTACCTTATGTCAAAACTGGCTGGAGAAGAAATTGTCGGCCGCTAAAGTATTCCTCACTCCATCTGGAACTGCTGCTCTCGATTTGGCAGCATTGGTTCTGAACATCCAGCCCGGGGACGAAGTCATTGTCCCCAGCTACACCTATGTTTCCACCGCAAACGCATTCCTCCTTCGCGGGGCCTCGTTGGTGTTTGTGGATATTGTGCCCGAGACCATGAATATGGACATACACAAGCTGCAGGATGCGATCACGGACAAGACCCGCGCAATCGTCCCTGTTCACTACGCTGGGGTCGCCTGCGACATGGACGCTCTTTTGCACATAGCCCACGAACGCGGGGTCTATGTCGTGGAAGACGCGGCGCAGGGCTTGTTCTCAACCTACAAAGGCCGTGCGCTGGGCACAATTGGCCACATCGGCTGCTTCAGCTTCCACGAGAGCAAGAATGTAACCGCAGGCGGGCAAGGTGGCGCGATTCTGATTAATGACCCTAGTCTGGTCGAGCGAGCGGAAATTATCAGAGATAAAGGCACCGACCGTCAAATGTTCCTGCGAGGAGAAGTACCCCACTATACCTGGCAACAGGCTGGGGCGAGCTACACCCTCAGCGAGATACAGGCCGCCTACCTTTGGGGCCAGCTTGAAGCGGCTGATCGGATTCAACACCACCGTTTGGAGATATGGGGTTTCTACTACAGGGAATTATCTAAGCTATGCAATGATGCACCCATTGCTCTACCTTGGGTACCATCTGACTGCCAGCACAATGCACACATCTTCTTTATCAAAGTGGCGGATGGAGAGCAGCGGAAGGATTTCATGACCGCGATGAAAGGTGCTGGGATAACAGTTCTAGCTCATTATAGCCCTCTGCACTCGACGGCCCCCGGCACCCAAGGTCGGCACGTTCTTGACCGACAGGACTTCGCAACCCGCGAAAGCGAGAGGCTTGTTCGTCTTCCGATCTTCTACACGATGACCATGGAGCAAGCACGCACGGTGGTTGAGACGATCGAGTGGTATTTCATGAGGCGATTGGCGCATATCTAGAGAAGTGACAAATTGAGTATGCTCTTTGTATTTCCTTTCCTCTAAACAGAACCCCCATGAGCGTAGGATCACAGCCGCACTACAGGGCGGTCACCACGGCCCATCTCTTCAATATGCCACCGAATGGTGTGTCGTAACCCCTGTTCGAGAGATATAATCGGTTTCCACCCAAGTTCTTCCCGCGCCAGAGAGTTGTCCGGCCGCCGAGTCGCAGGATCATCCACCGGCGGTGGAAGGAATTCGATACTGACCTTAGGTTGCTGACCGGTAATGCTTACTACTAGCTCTGCAACCATTTCCGCCAACTGCAGTATGGTATTCTCGTTATCGTTTCCTATGTTCACCGGTCCTTTTGCATAACCGCTATTCATCAACCTATAAAGGCCGTTCGCGCAGTCACTAACATATTGGAATGAACGTGTCGCCGACCCGTCGCCAGTGATCTGGATCGGTTGTCCCGACAGCGCGCTCGCAATGAATGAAGAAACAACCCTTCCGTCTGAGGCAGCCAGTCGTGGTCCGTACGTGTTGAAAATTCGGGCAATGCGAATGTCCGTCCCATGCTGCTCCCGATATCCATACATCAGAGCCTCCCCAACTCGTTTACCTTCATCATAGCAAGACCGGGGCCCAAACGGATTCACGTTCCCCCAGTACGTCTCCGGCTGGGGACAGATCTTGGGATCTCCGTAGACTTCTACACAGCCAGCCGTCTCAATCAGCAGTTGTTATTTGCCCCCTAGGAATACATGATGGTTGTACGTCACGAACCAGATGTGCTTGTGAATAGAATGCGGATCTTGCGTTTTGTTGCGAATTCAAGCAGGCTTTTCGTCCCTCGGTAGCAGGTGTCAAGTGTGCCGATATGGTCTTTCTGGTACTGGATCGGGCTCGCTGGACAGGCGAGGTGATAAATCTGATCCACGATAGGCAATTCGGGTAGTGGAGCGCGCACATCGTGACTGTTCAGAGCGAGTCAGCATAATACACACACGCATTACAGCCCAGGTAGCCGCTTACCGCACGAGAGTGAACTTGGCATTAGAAACCAGATGTTTCAGGTTGTTGGGAAAGCCCGTTTGGAAGTTGTCCAGACCAATTACCTCGTGGCCTTTCTCTAGCAGAAGGTCTACAAGATGTGATCCCAGGAACCCGGCCGCCTACTAGTATCAGTATAGTGTATGATTTTTCAATATTTTCCTGTAAGGCTTACTCCAGCAACCAGAACCTTGAGGTTCTTCTTTTCCGGTCCATTTTGATCAGACATTTTCAGTCAATGTTTGAAAGGTGCTCTGTTACGGTTGACTGCAGAAATGAGCGGTCTACGTAGGGATCTGCGAATTACATATAGACGTGAGGCACGCGAGCTGAAGCCCCGCACAGCTGGCCAGAATCTTAGCGCCGATTTCGATTGCTTCGCTAGGTGAATAAGATTAACTAGCTGATTAAGTTAGTCTAAGCTGGCTCAGAAAGGGCGGTATTATTTAGCACGGATCTTTCAGTAGAACAATCTCAGCTGCAGCAGCCTATACCCTTCGACATTTTCCCCCAACAACCTAAAGCGCAAACCAAGCTGGAAATGGTCTCCGCCGTTGTTTTCGGGTACCACAACGTCGGCGTGAGGTGTCTCTCCGTCCTCCTTGCACAAGACATCGAGGTGAAGCTGGTGGTGACCCATCCGGACGATGAGGACGAGAATATCTGGTTCGACAGCGTATCGAACCTGGCGAGTTTACATGGAATCCCCGTGATTACGCCCGACGACCCGAATACAGAAGAAATGATCACGCGGCTACGGTCGTTGAACCCCGATTTTATTTTCTCCTTCTACTACCGCAAGATTCTTAGCGTGGCGGTCTTGGAGACGGCCCGGCAAGGCTGCTACAACATGCACGGCTCTCTGCTGCCTCGCTATCGTGGCCGCGCCCCCGTCAACTGGGCTCTCGTGCACGGCGAAGCCCAGACGGGCGCCACGCTCCACGAAATGGTGCGAAAGCCCGATGCAGGCGCCATTGTGGGGCAGATGGCCGTGCCCATCCTGCCCAATGATACGGCGTCGGATGTCTTCTCCAAGGTATTGGTCGCGGCGGAGTTGGTGCTCTGCCAAACACTGCCCGAGATCGTGAGTGGCACGGTGGTCGCCAGACAGATGGACCTCAGCTGCGGGTCGTATTTCGGCGGACGCAAGCCACAGGACGGGCTGATCGAATGGGGGACGATGGGCGCTCGACAAATTCACAATCTTGTGCGAGCTGTGACGCATCCGTATCCGGGGGCGTTCATGGATACGGCCAAAGGACGGGTAGTCATTTGGCGCACATTGGTGGTAGAAGATACTAGCCCTAAGTCCTCCGCTCAGCAGCCCAGTCTGCTCCAGAAAGGGGACCAGCTGCTGGCCACTGCTTGCGATGGCGGGGTCCTGCGCGTCATCCGTGCAGAGCTGGAGGGCCGATTGTTGGACCAGGAGACTTTTACAGAGATCTTCGGCGCTTCATACCCACTTCCTTAAACACTACCACCCAATAAGGCCATGCCATGTGGTGTGGTGTAGATAATGAGGGGAAGAGATTCCTATGTGAGGTACCGAACCGATACCGGATCATTGCCTGAATAATCCAGCTCCATAAAACTAAACTTTTCCTTTACAGCCAACTAAACACACCCCGTGAAGTAACTAGTAATTAAATCGAAGTCAGATGTCTATACCAGTCATAATTCTGCCTAGTATGCATTCTGACTAAACAAAAACGTATCCGATATTAGAAATAGTGCACTATCAAGTTATAGTATATAGCCTTCTTCGACTCCGCGTATGTTAATTCGAAGCCTGCTCCAAGGCCACTATATAATGAACAGGGCTCAGAATAATCCAGGGATCATCCTCCACCGCACCATCTGCTGATACTCCTCCCACCGGGACCCGTACTTAGCTGAACACCGCTTCTCATCCCGATGGCACCGATGGACCAGCAGTATAGTCATATAGATGAAATAGATATACGGTAGAACATGGGACCATCCACAGCACACGCACGTGCAGAAAGAGAAAACAATGTCACCAACATAGTTGGGATGGCGCACAATCCCCCAGCAGCCTGCTCCCGGTTAGTTATGCCTTGTTCACTGAGCAGCTTTTATACGCTGCATGGAGAAAGTCAAGTGAACATGTCAGGGTGAGGAAGTATACATACCAGAATACAGCAAAAATGTCTCGTGGACTTTCCCCTTCGCCGTAGTATACTGGGCCCTGATCGCACGAGGCTTGCTACCGGCAATCTGACAATTGCCCTTCGTTTGTCGGAAATGATGTTTCTGGTGGTTGGCAAGACGAAATAGCACATAGCTCAAGATACCTGTTGCAAGGATCGCGCCGAATGTGAATGAAGAGAGCTCAACTGGATGTAAGGCCAAGTATTGGGCTTGCACGGTATAGACCATGGGTAACCAAACGGCAGAGCCCCAGGCGAGGGTGAAGCCGAAGTGGTCATGGGCGATGTCTATGGTTGTAAGGTACCTGAACAGGTCTGTTAGAACTTGGCACAATCGGTACAGAAACTAAGAGGGACTTACCAGTCCTCGTTGATGAAGAAATCGATGACGTATACGGCATGGAGAATGATCACAATTAGTATTGAGTTAGAGATTGTGCCATAGTGGAGGTATTGTTGGGCCATGAAAGATAGGTCGCTGTTTTCATAAGTCCATATGTTCTACACTATGCATCGCAAAGGGGGCATTCCTACATCACGACCCAGGAGTTCATTCCTAGACGGCCAACTTGGAACATCTTCAGATCCCAGTGCCGACCCAGTCGGGGATTCAGTTCAACGCCAACCAGAAAATCGTGAAAGATAGAGCCTGGATTCGTTAGCCAAAATTTCCCGGGAAACCTCATTCTTCAATCATATAGAAGGCTATAAGGCCAACATATCTCTACGGGAAGTTATGTACGAACCACTAAGCCGCCGATCGGTCTTAAAGCTCGGCCACATATGACCCTTTGCCACAGCCAGAGCTGGCAATACTAGTCCATAGACGTTCGCTGCGGCCAACAGTCCTGCCCAATTTTGGGCTAAGCTTGCAACTACCTCAACACCTCCTACACAAGCGGCCAGAACGACTGTACCAACTGTGATACACCACGACAACAGTCCGTTCATCCGGTAGGGCAGGGTATTTCCCCCCGGTGTTGGTGGCCCATAGACGGTCTTCCCTGGAAGAAGGGAGTACAACAGTCCCTGGGAAACTATCCAGCTCGCATACGCCATCATATGGCCATAGGACATGTCAGGAAGATAGCGCCGAAAAAGAGCTATCGGTGATGAGTATACCAGTAGCTCAAACAAGCCCTGTCGTAGAGAGCCGTCGAAATGCTCGAGGCAAATACGAAGAAACTGCACGAAAAGAAAGGTGCCAATTGCGAAAAGCAAACTTAGGAGGCCAGAAAAAGCAGAAACATGACTGCGACGACCCCAAAAACTGTTTCCCGGTTTTTGCTGCTTGCCATCAGCTTTCAAATAAATATGTGGTTTGCCGCTGATTCTTGTAGCGGATGGCGCTCGATTATGGAGCATCTTTTGAAAAGGAATTGGCTTGCACTCGAGCGCGAGCGACGTGAGAAGTTGACGGGAAAATTAGAGTAGATTGACTTCAACGAGAAAACACGTCAAATTGCGCTAGACAGGCAGATAACAGGTGAGAAAGAACTGGGTATATATCTCAAGAAGACAGGTTGTGTGTTGGCAAAATGCAAGAGAGCCGGCCGCATTGACGCCCGATGTGATCTGACCTGTATGGTTCCTCGTACGGAATGTAGATCGGTCACCATGGGTGCTGCAGATAAATCTTACGCGTCGATCTGCCTACTATCGACAGCAGAACCCAATAAAACTTCTTTGCATAAATGCAAGGGACCTGCGTAGACAATATGATCTCCCAATTCACGAGGGATCAATTTACCGATGCGTGTCTTCAGCTAGCCAGGTCTCCTTGTCATCGAGATGTATCACACCACGACACAATATCTGTAGTGCCGATATGAATACAGATGTCCTCAATCCCTAGTTGCCGAAACTGTACTCTATAGTGACTGCTGGCATGAACTATGAACCTCATGCTTTTCCATCTTCAGTAGCCAGGTCATTTCTCCTTCCACCAAGACCTATTATTATGGGGAGTAAATGGCCACTTTCCCAACTTTCCTAATAGAGTAGCACGAACCCTATGGAACTTCAGTCATCTTTCCTAGTATGTGGTAAAGAAGTCCTCTCACTATACATGAACAGTTGAACCTACAAGATGGGGATACGAAGCGGTATGTCCTTTCACGTCCGTGCTAAGAGCAGGTGTCCACAGCACATCATATATGTTCCAATAGTTGAACTCCGGAAAAGATATCCAGATGAACTATAAGAAGGATTCTTAGACAGTGTGGGGCTTATTAGGTGGTCTGGAGCGTCTACTGGAGTTGCTCACAATAGACCAAGATCTCAATAGACAGACAGCTTTGTCACTACTGTTTTGTGATGTCCCCTACTTCCAGGTAGCACCTTCCACGCGTCATGGCTCCCGTTATCCAGCGATTCCCTGAGACGATTGTCTTTCACTTCGCTTTACTGGCAACGATGTGCCGCCGGAAGTTGTTCACCGCTCAATCTCCGCAAATGACTTCGGTTATATTAAATCTTGGCCTATGGCAGATTCTCTAAGCAGCTGGAGGCTAGCATGCCGAACATCGCGGCGACAGACACAGACATCCCAAGACTATTCGACCAACCCGACAACAAGACATGTATGTACATACATAATTGGAGACATGCATACATACATTTCAAAAGGCTGTGCACCTCGTAGCTATTTTGTGCTACAGAGGGTTCTCGCTTCTGCGTCATCAAGTAGAACCTTGGCAGGAACATTCACCCATGATTCCCCATCCACCCCGGACGCCATGCCTCTTCCCATCGACGATATGTTCCCCGTTATACGACATTGGGGAATACCCACACACTCATACTCTCCTGAAGAGTGCGTCCAGCCGATAGCGATTCCGGTATGCTTTGTTGTCCGACAAGGAGGACGCCGTAGCCATAGGATGTTGCACAAATTGTATCCGTTTCCAGCTAAGCGGGACGTAGATGTTACCCATTGCGAGTTGGGCTCATTTCTCAACTCCCTCCGCTTCTAATACATCGACATCCAACTCCTCCATTACCCCCAGTACGACCCCAAGGCTCTCCATGAACCCATTGACAGCCACCCGCAGCATCCGGTTGGTGGTTGCACGGTATGTAGTCTCGAGTACAGTCTTTGCCCCTTCGGTATCCGCTTGAATGCCCTTCGGAGTGGTTACCACCATGTCGCGTCGGACGAAGGGGGAGAGTTCGGTGTCGACTTCAATCGCACGAAGAGCGGAAGTTGCAAGGCGATTTGAGGGGAGGGGGAGGGAGACTGTCCTGGTGTGCGTGGTATATTAGACCTTGATGTCTTGATTGGAGGGGTATTGTGAGTGAACTTACAAAGTGTAGGGGAATACTTCAGCGGAGGCCATGATGCCGGATAGTTTTCTAGTTGGATTCGATGTCCGTGCTGAAAAGGTAAAAAATCCAACGAAGCAAAATGCAGGGTTAAAACAGTAGACCACCGGTAGCGGGCATCGAAGCAAAAGAAGTCGATGTCAATTGAATTGAAGCAAAAGTGGGGTGCCCTTGGATGAGTCAGCACCGTCAATCTCGACTCGAAAAGTATTCAAATGAATCAAATCCAGTTCCACATACTCCTAGACAGATTAGTTCTTTGTTATAATGATACGAGACTAAAGAGTGCTACTTGAGCCTACAAGTCTTGTCTTCCGATTTACATTCCGCGCTGGCAATAGCCCATGGCTTGGATGCTTAAACAAATTTGGCTGGCGATAACACGAAGTATATATTTTCGTGTCGAGACTCAGGATTTCGAAATTTCAGGTTTCGCTCAGCTATATCGAAGCTGTCATAATAATTATATAGGCTAAATAAAGCCTTGTCTAGAAGAGACCTCATCAAGAGACTCACTAAATGGACATCGATGTCAATATGCTCTACCCAGTGCTGAATACCGACCGAGCTGGAGAGTCTTAACTGTTGTCTCCATGGGGATATTAGACCACTGTCCAAGACTCGCAGAACACAATATCTTAATAAGCTGAGAATATACTATAATTTAAGCAGCTCAATTACTTCTCTTATTTAATCTATGCAAGTAAATCACTATCCAAGGGATTTAATTTATTCAAGCGGCTTGAGATCAAGTCCAGGGATCCTAGCGGTCCAATGTGGAATACAGAATAGCTGTATCGGTTATAGAACAATAGAATAAGTTGCAGAGCTCCGCTCTACAAACAGATGAAATTAAGAATTATGGACTAAAACCTTCACTAGACTGTATATACAAAGATCTCCTCTCAGTCCTTGATGTCCATGTCGCCGTTCAGCCAGGTTTCAGCATCGCTGTCCTCTCACATTGCCGTTTTCCGTGGATTCCCGACAAGAAGTTTACGTCAAGCGTCTCGCAGATAGGTTCCATGACAGTCGTGAGAGAAAAGATTTCTAGGTCAGTCTCTTTACAGAAGACCAAGAATGTTGCTGACCAGAGGGAGGTTGTCTAGAATGTGATTAGTAGAGCTTCAAGAAAAGTATAAAATTGCTAGACTTACTGGCCTGGACGAGGTCGAGGATGTGCTCGACACCAGCAGCGTCGAGGGTTTCTAGAATTACTCAGCTAACGGTCTTTCGCAATCTGAACAAGGGCAGTAACTTACCCTCCTTAACCTGGCTGACCAGGCTCGTCGCAACACCAGTGAGCTGTCCAACCTGGCGCTTAGCACCAAGGACTATTATCCATATTAGCCATTGTGATTTCTCGGATTGAAAGCAGTACGTACCACCGGTAGTGCCGGGAAGGGCGTTGCCAACAGCACCGTCAACGGTGCCGACAGCTGAGTTGACGGTGCCAACCACAGGCTGGACGGCACCGTTAACGGTGGAAGTCAAAGGCGAAACAACATTGTTAACGGTGTCGACCTCATTGCCAACAACGCTGCGCTGGCAGACGGTGCTAGTGAGCTGGTTCAGCTCGCCCTTGATCTGCTTGAGAGCTGGTGCCAATAGAGTTAGCTTCTATGCGAGGCAAAACATGACCAAAAGTTCCAAAACACACCATCCTGAACCTGAACGAGGTCAGAAACGCCCGCACCGCCGAGGGCACCACCAAGGAGACCGTCGATGTTTCCAAGAACACCGTTAAGCTGGTTCAAGGTGGGCTGGAGAGAAGCGGTAGGAATAGCAGCGGCGGAGGCAGCGCTGACAGCAGCAAGAGAGGCAATAAGTCCGGTGAACTTCATCTTGGCGGGTTAAAAATTGGTGTATGGATGAGAAAGAATGAATGACTTGTGTTTTTGAAAGAGTGGACGCTGAAGAGCGGGCTTGGGAAAAGAATGACTGAGTTGAGAGAGCTTGTCTGATGGGGAAAGAGAATGCTTTGGAAGAGGATGCCCAAGCCTGATTATATACTGCCTCTTCACCCCAAGAATCAGGGGCTTGTTGCACAGGCACCGCAGGTGGTGACTATCATAATCCATTAGTCTGTTCCATGTAGTTGAATCAAATGATGATCGACGTGGACAGCCTTGCTTTCAACCTTTTTACTGCACTTCCATGTGTAAGCAAACTGGGTCCTTATGGGCAACAACGCCAATGACTACCTATACGAACGTAGAATTGAGGGCCAGGCTTAACGTAGGTAAGCTTCAATGGCGGGGGAGGCGTCCAATTGGTGCACAAGCCGTCCATGTCTCCGTTGCGTAAAATACTAGGCTCCTTAGCCAAGCACTAAGGATAGGGTCCGAGGCACAAGATTGAGGCCATGATGGGTTGACTGCCAAGTGTCAAATATTTTGCTCGACGATAAAAGCTTCAATAGTTCGACATTCTTGTACCACGGTACTCGGTAGTAATTCAGGGTCTGTAAGCTGTTATTTACTGGAGCGGATTGCTAGCCAAGCCCAATCCCAATAGACAGTAAGCCATCTTCAACCACAGGGTTTCAGCCCTGATCAATCTACAGAGACATGACCGTTGCGCATGAGCACCCGTCAGTAGCCGGCACTTGGTAGAAAAAGAGCACATACCCCGGATCCAATTAAACGTCACTTAAGCGTAATAACTCAAACCTTAACCATCGATAGTCGCGCCTTAGCTGGAAGATCGTCGTTGCTTTGCTGTCGCCACTGCCCAAGAGTTGGCGTCCTGCCAGGCCACGAACATACCATCCCTTCGTCAGTGGCTTGTCGGAGAATTCGGGGCCATTGTTAAATTTCATGAATACTCCTGCTTGGATTGATATTGGTTTTGATGTCGCGCAGTGAGCCACACTCAGTTATACTCTGTACTCTGTTCACCGAATGGTTCGACTAGTACGTAGGGTACGGGACAACGTTGCTTCTAGCGTACAGCAAATTGGCAAACCCCCCGCCCCTGCCGATCAGATCCACTTGCTCCTCTGTAGTTTTCATGGAACGGCAAATTCTAAGTATCGTGCGCAGTGGTTACCAAATTGCGCCCTTTTTACCCTCCGCTGATCATCACTCGTGAAACTCGAATTTCGGTCATTGCCCGCAGATTACTTTCCCTTTTGGGTGGGCACACACGAGCTTTAAGTCTTCAACATTGTGAGGGTACTTGATAGACACGAGGGAGAAAGTACGGAGGATATTCTCCTGAGCGTGCTCACTTGTCCAAACAAGATATTTGTCCGTACTATCGAAACTTTAAAAGCAGTGTTGTAACAGTCAAGTTGCTGTTACCACATTCTCGGGCATCGACTGCTCCACAGTGACATGCCTAGGACTGTGAAGATATATATTGAACTAGCGATAGCAGATATTCAGGGACCAGAGGCGCTGTACAATCTGATCCATCTCTCAGTATACTTAACAGGGTACGAGCGATGTAAGACTACCGGGAATGGCCCCCTTCATGATATAGGATGTACAGGATATATCCAATGGCTAACCCGAAGGTGAATACTTCAGTTTGCAATTTTCAGCTCAGACGAAAATTCACAAATCGTCCGAAAATTTCCGGTGGACCGAGAAAGGGTCTCAGTCTAGGAGTTATTGCTCGTTCGCCATCGCCCTGACAATGCTGTTCTGCTGTCTGGAGTGAGAACGCTCCGTGGAGGCAAGCCCCTCTCATGGCTGATAGGGCCAGTTATAACTTATAACTTATAATAGGCTTCCTCCCCTATTTGTGGTTGATGTAAATTTTCAAACTGTCCTTAAAATATAACCACAAGTCACTATGGTCGGGGAAAAAAAAAGGTTGGATGCAGAGGCGTCCCCAGAACGTGGACGTTTTCGATCGCTAGGATGAGGGCTTGTGGCGGTGCACACAACAAACAACCAAAACACTGTGAGGGCAACCGCTTTGGTTGTGGTTTGTCTTTGTTTGTCTGAGCGGGGGCGTTGTGGTGGCTTACATAAGGGATTGTTTTGACAGTTGTGGCGTTCGCCTGAGGCAACAAGCGTTGTCGTGTCAACGGCCGGCGCTAGACTGCTCTGGGGCCATCACAACATAACAGCGGCCACTAAGCGTGCATCGCATTTCCTTAAACGGTCTCATCGGCCTCGAGCTCTTCTCTCGTGCGGCAGTTCACCACCTTTTTCTCCTCTTCAGCTCCATCCTTCCCCTCTCTCTTACCCCCCTTCAAGAGCTCCTTTAAAGGTCTCCTCGATTCCCTGCTCCTACTCAGGTCGCATTGCCGGTATCCTTATTCTATCCGCGACCCCCCCGTGGATTATCAGTATTCTTGTCTATTAAGAGTGGCAACGGTTCGGATCATGATTGTTTAGCTTGGGTCACTTGTTTGGATTTATCTACTCTGTTGATCAGGTTACAACTATCTTGCAATTGCAGGACAAGTCTCTCCCAGAGACGCCCCTACTTGCTGCTTGCCTTAGCCCCCTATCGATTGTTTATTGTCCATATTACTGTTAGCCATTTGTTTTGGTGACGCATTGCTGCATTCAAAATGGCCGGAAACAGTGGTGATTACGGCCAGATCATTGAGTATATCCAAGGTAAGTGCGATTGCATCTGTTGATTCCATTTGGAGCGACTTTCTGCACTGATCAAAACATCCGGTGCTGGATATCAAAAGCCACATGCTAACTGCCTGGCAAAACAGATCGTCTTTACTTGGCTTCCTATGACGACGCACCGGATGCGAGAACTCCATTCCCATATCCTTCCGAGCAACCTAAGTCTCCAAGCAAGCGCTCCGCGAGAGCTCAGCCGAACACCCCCAGTAGGAAGAGGCGAAGCCCCGTGTATTTCACGGTCGATGATACCTTGCTTTACAACTCTTTCCATGCAGACTTCGGCCCGCTCCACATAGGTCACCTGTACCGGTTTGCGGTTCATTTCCATGAGATCCTGGGCGACCCGGCCAACAGTGATCGCCCAGTGGTGTTCTACTCGAAGCCTGACGCCCGGAGTCGTGCCAATGCAGCATGTCTTGTTGCTTGCTACATGGTCCTCATTCAATCATGGCCGCCTCATTTGGCCTTGGCTCCGATTGCGCAGGCTGATCCTCCGTATATGCCATTCCGAGATGCCGGGTACAGTCAGGCAGATTTCACTCTGACCATTCAAGATGTGGTTTATGGAGTATGGAAAGCAAAGGAGCAGTCACTGTGTGGCTTGAGGGAGTTTAGTCTTGAAGAGTATGTTTCATTTGACTGCCATATAAGAAACTTGTTGACCAGGCACTAGGTATGAGAAATACGAACGTGTCGATATGGGTGACTTCAACTGGATAACACCTGACTTCTTGGCCTTTGCTTCGCCGCAGCACGAACCGATTGCCCCGATTTCTCCTAATACCCCTGAATATGCCGCATTACCCTCTACAATCTCCCAAGTCCATGCATCCAAATTACCTCTTCCTTTCAAAAATGTGTTGGCCCACTTCGCGTCACGAGACATTGGACTAGTTGTGCGATTGAATTCTGAATTGTACTCGCCTTCATACTTTACGGCCTTGGGCATTACTCACATCGACATGATCTTTGAAGACGGCACTTGCCCTTCTCTACCATTGGTCCGACGATTCATCAAAATGGCCCATGACATGATTACGGTCAAGAAGAAGGGAATTGCTGTGCACTGCAAAGCTGGCCTTGGCCGGACGGGCTGTTTGATTGGCGCATATCTTATTTACCGATACGGATTTACTGCCAATGAGATTATTGCATTCATGAGGTTCATGCGCCCTGGCATGGTGGTTGGCCCACAACAACACTGGCTGCATTTGAACCAAGGTGCATTCCGTGAATGGTGGTTCGAGGACAGCATGAAGGAGAAGCTGGCACAAATGCAGGCAGCTCCGGTCACACCCGGCCGTCCATCCACCAAGCAGCGTGCGAACAACGGCCCTGTCGCTACTCCTCCAAATAACGGTCACTCAAAGCGCGCCGCATTGGGTGAAATCGATCACAATGAGGCTGCTGGAGCACAGCACGACGAGAATCTCCCGGCGCCAACACCCGGCCAGCCTAGGAAATCGCACAGGAAAGACTCCCGTCACCACCCATACGCCCGCACGACATCTGGCAGCCTGGTAGTTGACAAGGAGGCGAAAACCAGAGAACACTCAGCGCACAGAAGCCAGCGTCTTAGCAGTGATAGCAGCGAGAGTGAAGAGGAGATTCAACTTCGCATGCTTGCGAAGCGTTCGTCGAAGTCACCAGTGGCATCCCCAAGCCCGCGGTCCGTTAGCTACTCGGCAACATTGACCACGAGCTACACATTGAATGATGGCATTCATGAGGATAGGGAAAACTGGGGTGACGCTGCATATGCCGCACCGAAGACCCCATTGAGCTCTAAGACTGGGGTATCCGTTGCCAAGGTCCGCACCAGCCCTCGCCGTGTTACGGACAGCCGGAGCGAGACCAGAGGCGTCCGCAAGACTAGTGGCCGAATCGGCAGTGCCGGCAGCCCAACTCGCGTGAAATAAGTCCCACTGCAGTCTTTTCTCTCTTCCTTATTCCTTCAAGATATCCTTCTTATGTTACATTTTATTTGACTCATCTTACTTTGAGTCCAGTGGATTACTTCTGCTGGGCTATAATAGTGCATATTGCATGTGCCTCCTACTACCCTTTCGTATATCCATTATTCTTCACTTGTCCATGCGTTTCAGGTCTTTGATGATCAATGACTTGTGGGTGTCTTCTTGGTTTTTCCTGGTTTAAAATCGATGGGTCTGGTTATGTGTGTTACGGCGTCCGGGGGTATTCTGATGTTGGAGGATTTAGAAGTTGGTATTGATGTGGAATTTTGTGGCTAGCACCAGTGCCTATACACTTGCATCGTTCTTTCGCAAGCGTGGACAGCAGTATTTTGCCTGATTGCATTGTGTGTCTCTGTATGTATACGACCAACGTCGGCATGACAAATTCAGTTGATGACGATCCCAACCACCGAGAACTAGTAGTGTAAAATACATAGTAGCTGTGTTGCCATGATAAAACATATGACTAGGCCTTATCACAGGCTATACTTTGAATTGAGGCACCACTACCTCGGATGCTAAAGCAACCTCGTTCTTCTAGCTCAAAGGTCGTATAGATGGATCTTAGAGACTAGTACAGGATAAAAGGTGCCGCGTATGACGTCCGACTTAGATTCATACCCTCCCACACACAAAGTGCTACGCTACCTCCTGTGCCTCCAAATGCGCCACTATCAAATTCAAATATTCCCGTGCACGGGGCGTGGAATCCTCAATACCTGGAACCTTAGCAGCATCGTCCCAAAGCCGCAATGCAACCATCTCATCACGCAGCGGATCCTGGTCAAAAGCAGCAAGCTCTGCTCCCTTGAATGGACCCCCCTGAAATTCGAGCGATTTCTTCGAAGCCGATGATAGCGAATCATAGTACGAGTCATTGACCGCCGTGAGGTATCTGCCCCGTGAGTATTAGTTCCCAACGCATACAAAACATATAGAGAAGCCCTAAAATGACAACCCGAGAACGGAGAGAGAATACCTCTTCGCCGCAACATGACTCTCAACTAGTTGACACACACTCGGGTTAAATCCCAGAGAGTGCAGAAACTCAGATCCGATTCGCTCATGGCCGACGCGACCGACGTTTTCGGCGCTGTTCTTCAAATTCATTCGCACTTCTTTGGTTGATTCGAGGGGGATGATTTGGCCGATGTCGTGGAGGAGAGCTGCGATTATGAGCTCGCTTCGTGCGCCTGGTACCGTGGAATGTTAGTTAATTGATTAGTTGGCTTTTGTTGGTGATTTATCTACTACTGACCATGTTTCTGTGCATTGTGAGCTGCTTGGAGACAGTGTTCTAGTTGGCTGATTGATTCGCCTATGTAGTCGCCTTGGCCGTGTTGCTCAAGCGATGTAACTAGGTATTCGGCTTTTTCTTTGGGCGATTGGGTGGCCATTTTTGAGGGGTTTGGGACGGAAATATCTGTTCTGAGGAGTTGAGGGTAAAGGTTGAAGAAGGTCGGGAGGATTGAGAGAAAGAGGGGATGATAGCGTTAAATAGTCCAAAATGACAAAATGTTAACCCCACGTGTGGCATTGATTTGAAAATGGGCACTACTCGTACTAGACATTCCTTTCTCTGGTTTAATTGGTTTTTGCCAGGGAATGGCGTTGAAAATTAGACTGCTATTCTCTTATATCACTTATGGTGGGAGGATGCAGAATCTATCCTATCAATTCCATGTCTCTATTACCTTCATGCAAGAATGCTATCCTCACTAGTTTGCCCCCTGGCCTTATAGACTTCAAGATTATTTACACTGGTACCACCCCAACTATATTGTACTCCCCAAGTACGGAGTGTATTTCACAATTGTCTACGCTACCGGTTGTGGTTGGCCTTCAATAGTCAGCATGGGAGAACCATACCCATACCGAAGTCGTCCCTCTTCGTAGTTCTCTCCTTCCTTCCGCATGTGAGTAGCGGGCCAAAGCTTTCTTCGGTCTTCGTAATATGAGTCGTGGAGATCGCCTTCCGCCTTGCAATTGTATGTGGCATAGATCGCACGGCGGTCTTTAGAGCTTGTATTAGCACCACTGCGGTGGGCGAGATAGGATCCGAACACCATAATGTCGCCTGGCCTGAGTTAATAGATGTCTCAATCTGCCATATGGGTAGTATTGGTCGCACTAACCTGGGCGAAGGCAGCAAGGAGTCCACTTTTGGCTTTCGACCCAAGCAGGGTCAATACAGCGATCTTCTCCCAGTTTGATCTCTGTACGATGACTGCCGTCTACAACATCCAAGCCCCCGTTTTCGGGGGTCATATCGTCCACCGCCGCAAGGACAGTCAAATGCTTGATGTTCTTGACATGGGTATAGGCGTTGGCATCGATGTGAGGAGAAAAGCCACCTGAGTGGGGTGGGTTAACGATTAGCCTTAGATGCCAAAGAAGCCCTGAGAACTGCGTAAGACTGGACGCTTACCGCTGCCGGCGAGTTTGTAGTTGATCTTTTCTTTGAAAAGTAGCATAGGCTCGGTCGCCAGCTGTTCAAGGACGCTCAACATGCGCTGGCCCCGAAGGAAGCTGTTAAAGCCAGTATGGGTATTGGCGTAGTTCTCTGTACGGCAGAGGACCCGCTTGCCTTGTGCATTTACCTCCTATACTCTTATATCAGCTCTGTGCTTAATACTTTGTTATTCTCTTAAATCAGTAGCTCACCTCGTATGGCATGTATGATGCATCTGGAGTGCGGGGCAGGTCATGGACTTCCTGAGTCCATTGCTGGAGAAGCTTGGTTTCTGGAGCGTTGAAGAAGCCCTGAATAACCAAGTAGCCCTTCTCGTTATAGGATTGAATTTGATCCTCAGTCAAAGGGAAGTGGCTGTTCTCCATGGTGCAAGTAGGTCAAGTAAGCTCTTGGGGGGACAATTATTTTTTTTTTTCGTCGGATAGAAGAGAGGCACATGATCTATTCCCTGAAAGCGACTGGGATCACCGACTAAATAAGTGCTGCAGCAGGCCATCTCCTATTGAGCAGTCGACTAATGCCGGGTCTAAAATCGGTATCGTGACACATCGTAGGGGAATGGTTTAGGGGAGGAGAGCGGGGAATGTTGCAGCGCTGGGAGTCGAGATTGCGTACAGATGGAGAGATCATCGTTGAGTCTCAGGGAACTGTTACATTGTATGACTACGATTACGGGCCAGTGATAACACTTCGAAGTGTCCATGTGCCTCGAACGACAGGACGACAGTTGGAGATGGGGCCTTCGCTTAGAGATTAGTGTCGCGGTAGTTTCCGACATCTCGGGGGACCCTACCGTCTCCACTCACAAGGTACAGAGGCACGTGTCCCTCTGGTCGTCCTACAACATGTCAATCTCGACGGACTATCTCCGGAGCTGCATAGCTAGACTTCTCAGTATGTACCGCGACCGGTGGAAACTCAATCGATGTCTGTCAAGCTCACGACAATATGCATGCCCGTGCAATATCTTACCCCCATGATTGGCCAACGGGAGAGCATTTCCATTCCGATCTTGCGATCCTTCCTCTCCATCAATGTCGAAGTTATATAGAAGATTGTTCGACGTGGGCTAAAATGACTGGGAAAAAATCATTTGTGTTCTTTTGTTGTCGTCGTCCTCTTGTATTTACGGCACCAGAACAGCCTCGCTGCTATCAATTCCAACCATGGCCTCGGTAGAAAGTTCTCCGGCCGATTCTTCGATGATCAAGGATGCCGATGTCACAGTGAGCAAGTGGACAGGCTTACAAGGACAGGAGAACACAATCGAGAGCAGGGAGGATGTCGAAGCTGGTCAATCCAGCAAAAGTTCCGGGGTTCTGAATGTGATCATCTCGGGTCTGGCTCTTTTCAGTGATGGATACAATGCCCAGATTAGTAAGTACACCAACAATCCCGGATCAAAAACAATATACTGATCGACGCTATCCTTTTGAATCTTGTAGTTGGATATATGGAACCCTTATTCTCGGTCTTGTGTGTACCCCGCCATACAAGCTGTGCAAGCCATACAAGCTATACAAGCTTTGCAGCCAAGATCTCTCCCGCTGACTAGTTTCTTGGTGCATGGTAGATACAAAGATGGCATGTCTCCGACAATCAAAGGTCGACTATCGAACTCGTTTCTTATAGGAGAAATCTTTGGCATGCTCTTCTTTGGTGTTCTCATTGATCGAATGGGACGAAGGACGGGTGTGGTAGCGGCCACTGCGTTCTTAGTTCTGGGTATTGCATTGGCAGCAGCTGCGCACGGGAAATCCGAGCTTGGGTATGTGCCCCTTTTTCCATTCCTCCTAGCATGCCAAAGCCACTGCTTACAGGTATCTAGAATGTTCTGGATGATGATCATTGCCCGTGGTGTTGCTGGCTTTGGAGCCGGCGGCGAGTATCCCGTTTGCGCAACGAGTGCAACGGAGGCAGCAGACGAGACAACGAAGCTTCGGAAAAACCGAGGCTTCTTGGTAGCCTCAACCACTGATTTTGCCGTGGACCTGGTATGCAGCAAGGGTAGTTATAGGCCAAAGGAAGTACTGACACATGAACATAGGGCTTTGTCTCCGCTGGTATCGTGGCACTTATTGTTCTCGCCTGCTATGGTCAAGAGACTAGAGCTGGTGTATGGCGTATATCCTTTGGCATTGGATTTGTGGTACGTCACTTTGATATGTTTATTCTTCTACTATAAATACTCATATGATTATTATAGCTTCCCCTTTTCATCTGCTTCTTCCGGATTCGCATGATCAATTCGACTCAGTACCAGAAGCACAGCATCAAATCTAGGTATCCGTATGGGCTTATTCTCAAAAGATATTGGAAGCCGATGCTCGGAACCTGTGAGTTACCAAATCATTCGTCTATCTCTTCAAGTGCTGACTGTGTAGCCCTGGCGTGGTTCTGCTACGACTTTGTCACCTACCCGTTCGGAATCTTCTCATCCACCATTATCCAGCAATTGATGACGGACAATTCAACTGTCCAGAACATCGGTTATGGAGTGAGTGTCCTATCTGTAACATTTCCATTGAACTAGTAACTAAAGATCATGGCCTTCTAGACAGTGATCAACTGCTTCTATCTTCCTGGGTGCCTTCTTGGAGGGTATCTCATGGACAAAATTGGTCGCAAGCAAAACATGACTCTTGGTTTCATGCTCTGGTCCATCTGGGGCTTCATCCTTGGTGGTGCGCTTCACCCCATCCAAAGCGTGTTCCCGCTGTTCGTGGTGATGTACGGCATTTTCATGGCCTTGGGCGAAATGGGCCCCGGTGTATCTACGTTTCTCTGTGCTGCGGAGTCCTTTCCAACTCCTCTCCGTGGTCACTTTCTGGGATTCGCTGCCGCCGTGGGCAAGGCTGGTGCTTCTATTGGAACGGAAGTGTTTACTCCCATTCAGAACTCGTTCGATACCACGGCAAAGGGCCAACAAGCCGTGTTCTTGATTGCTTCTGCCTTTACAGTGGTCGGAGGTCTCATTGCATGGTTCTTGATTCCGGATATGTCTCGCGAGTTGGAGGATGAGGATGCCAGGTTCAAGGCATACTTAGAGGAGAACGGATACGACGTGAGCCACTATGGCGACGCGCTGCAGGTGGATAGGAAGAGTGGTCATTAATAGTATAATGTATAAAAGCCATTAGATTAGCATTCGAATACAGCGTTTGACTTCCTCACAGCGGGGGTAGTACGTTTAGAGTGATACTCTGATTCTAGCTTTTAGGGCAGATGCTGGAGGCCCCTGGTCTAACTATTTCCAGTTAGATTAGGTTAAGCTTCCTTGATCGGATGCCACCTCGGACTTCAACATGAATCAAACCCGAACTCACGGAGGATCCGTCTCATTAGAAGAACAGCCGAAAGAACAACAGGCGCATGAAGATACCGCGCAATTAATCGCGTTGGTGTCTCGTGGATGGTTTTCGGTGGGAATATTTAATGGCGGAGCGACCGACGAGAGGCCCCGCAGTCCGCCGCAATGGCACACTCCAGTCTTGCGAACCTTGTCGCAAGGCCAAGCTGCGGTGCGACCATGCAAGACCTGTCTGTGGTAGATGTACCACGAAAAAGATCACGGCCAAATGTTTCTACCATCCTGCACCAATGACAAAGGGAGTGGCCTCAAATCGGACCAGTCCGATCCACGCGTCGAGGGGCCTGACAAATCAACCGAGATCAAAGTAAGGACTCCCGCTTCCAGATTTAATTCGAAACTTAAGAGAACCACCAAGTGAAAATTGACTCTTTTTTTTTGGCAGTATCTCAAGCCCATCATTGGCAATGGAAAGTACTCGACTCGGCGCAAACTTAGAGCCAACCCCCGAGCTTCCTGGCTATCTCGGGGCGACTAGTTACTCGGCTATTCTTGCGGAGCATCGCAGTAATCTTCCGTTCGAAATAGATCATAGAACAGTGACCGGTACTCCGGCTAGGGCTGTCGACCCAGACCGTCTAAGGGCTGGTCTAGAGCTATTGAAACTCATTTATGACTTTCCGATCTATGATGTTTTGGTCCGGAAGCTCTACTCCAAGAAATCAATCGTTGTAGTTCCGATTGCTATTATTGACGCAATTATAGAGTCTATCCGGAGTACCTTTGACAGTCTGGACATTAGAAGCGACATTGAAGCCCAGTTGCAGGCTTTGGTCTATCAGATATCTCATAATACTTCAAGGCCGCTAACCACACATCGCTCGATGACTGCCCAGGAGTATTGCGCCTCATTTACTGGTAAGAACCTTCGATGGGAGTCTCTTGGGATAGTTCTGACTATCTCTGGGATATCCTTGATGTCTACGTCGGACAATGACCCGGACCTTGTTCAGGCAGCGCCTAGCAGTGAAGCTCGCGAGAGACTGCGCGCTCAGATCGTGGAGGCAAGCAGCATCTGTCTCAACTTCTGTGACCAGGCATCTTCAATCAACGAATTACTAGGCTTTGCTCAGTATAACGATGTCATGTTGAAAACTCAACATTTTGGCGACACGAGTATGCCCATCTCTTGTCTAATCGACGCATCGCACACTAACGAGGGGATTAGGCTATCAAGCTTGGCGCCGACTGGGCGACTTGTCAGCTACAGTGTATGCTGCTGGCTTTCATCAGGAAAGCTCGCAGGCTGATGATTGCCCATTCTTCCTCCGACAGTGGAGAAAGATATGTTTCGCCTCTGCCTTTTATGCGGATAAGGCGATAGCCACCTTCGTCGGGCGACCGCCATTTATCAACTATCGATACTGCTCGCTGACGCCTCCCATGGACTTGCATGAGGATGTTCTAGTGGCAGGGGGTGAAGATCTCACTAATGCCATTTCCAGCTTGAATATGGAAGGTTGGAACACCCAACGGCAAAATTACAGAGTGAGCATGATACGTCTTCGGTTCCTCTTTTCTGTGTATAGGGATCAAGCTCTCGAGGTAGCATTGGGAACAGGTGATGATTGGGATTTAGTCCAAAAGTCCAAGTGAGGAACCCCATGTGAATTTGGCACGGCGAAGTCATTGTCCGCTAATCGCGCATAGCCAAATCATTGAGAAAGCGCGAGCCACATTGGAAGCAGCACCACCTTTCATTCGATACGACATTCATGGGCAGAGCGAGGATGCGGAATCATACGCTTTATCTTTTCCCAGTCTCCACATGTACCTCGATTATCTCTACACAATTTTCCTCCTCCAGAGGGTTCTGGTGAAACGCACGAATGCAGGGCAAGAGGCGTTGATCCACACGTCGCGAGAGGCCCTTTCGATCGTTATCAGGATAGGCTCCGAATGCGAGCCGTCTATGGACTTGAATAGACACTATTCCTGGCTGGTATGTTGTGATCGCCCAAATCACAAAATCCTCTCTGAGATGCTCACATCATATCGTAGATATTGTACTACGGGGTGCCCAGTGCCAGTGTTCTGATCCTTGAACTTCTTCACCAAACCCAGGAAATCGGCCCGCACTCTGTCATGTTGCCTCGCGCGGAAATCATTCGCAATCTAAGTGTATTTCTATCATGTCTGTCGTGGGTTCCGCGTCCAACCTTTGGTAACTATCAGACCTGCAAGGAAGCGGAGAAGAAACTGTCCCATATTCTCGACCAAATCATTGACCCGCAGCCTATCCAACGAGAGGTCTTCAACGACGTGACCTCTGGTCTGGACAGCTTCTTGGATTTGTACAATCCCAGTAACTGGGACTTCAACACTGATTTCCTGTCTTCCACCGACAGCTTTGGCCTCGCAAGGAATTAGTTGGACTCGGAGCGCATTCGCTAGGGTATCATTTCAGTATCCGTAATTAAAGAAAGGTCGCAACTACCTGAGACCATTGTATAGCAATCTCGGCAACGAGACAATGCGGCGAGCAAAGAGCAAGAAAAGACAACAACCATCCGATCAACAGCGAGCCAACCTAAAACACATCGGCCAACCCGAAACGCCCTAGAAGAAGAACAAGCAAAGCATAGCACGAGCATCAACAGACATCAATCATACCATCCATACAAAGTCATTACTAGGATGTGTTTCCTGAAAATAGTACGCTCTGTGACAGAGCGGACAGTTGAAATGATCCTGCAGATACCATTTCTCCAGACATTCCTTGTGAAAGACGTGCAGGCATTTCAGCTCCCGAATCTCCTGGGACGGCAAAACCGATTCAAGGCAAACAACGCTGTAACGAGTCGGATGGGTTAGCTGGCTGGCTTTGACAATGCGTCCGCATACAAGAAAATGTCGGCCGAAGCGGCAGCGACGACAAACTGGTAGCGCGACTTACCACACAAATTGACCGTCGACTCCCTCGGAAGGTAACAAGGGCCCTTTCGATTTCGAGCGCCATTCCTCTAGAGTCCGAGCCGGAGACACGGCATCCAATTTGCGCAGCTTGTCGCTCGATCCCTTTTTCTTGCTTTTCGAGCAGGGGCGCTGTTCGCGACGGTTCACAAAGATGGTAAATCTAGAATCGCTGCGATGAGTTTGGGTCACGTAGAATCGAATGCCAAAAGACACAAGGACAACCCAGAGACCGATAAAACAAAGAATGAAATCAAAATTGAAATCAAAACACACTAGAAGCACATTTAAAAAAACAAGAGAGAGCCGAAAAGATGCAAAACCACTCAATACTCACAGCAAACACATGATAATTAGAGTTACAACACCCAGTCCGACTCCGAGAACAATTGCCATATGGGTATTACGAGCGAGGGAAGTTTTGTCCGACGACACCCCCATGTTCCATAACCCTGGGACAGCGGGTAGTCGCCGGGGGAACAACGTACAGAGTTTCTGGCGCTGGGGGGAAAAGGAGCTGAGGTGAAATATGGGCGAGAACCGTTCAAAATTCCACAACCGTCCTTCGGTCACTCCCGCATCCGTAGGAAAGATAGGTGGGCAGTGCGTCGTTGATAAATTCAAGAGTCGATCGCTGCGGTGGGGTTTCACGCCGTTGTACTGTGGAGAAGTTTTGACGCCGAAAGACAAAAAAAAAAAAAAGCTATCAGACCATCATTCCAGTCAGCAGATCTCGACAGGAGACGAAGTGCGTGAGCTGTTTGTTCGTGTGGAGATAATCGATAATAACAACAACAACAACAACAACAATCACAACAAACCAAGAGATAAAGCAGAAAAGTGAGAATCCCAAAAGGAACAGGAAGAAAACCAATAACTCAGGGCGACCCGAGATCATAAAAGAAGGTTATTTTAGAATATGTTTCATACTTTATGTACGGAGGGTACGGAGGAGACCGATTGAATGGCGCGCAAGAGGGCTGTGTAGAAAAGGCAACTAACAACTAGTAGTACCTAGCTCGCCTTGCATTCCAAGGGAGTGTCGTGCACTGGCCGTTTTGCCCCAGACTTTCCTGGTTAGTGTTTTTTTGATTTGGTTGTTAATTCCCTTGGCGCTTATCGACAAGGGGATCTCCGTGAATCTTGTGAGCACTGACGAGTGGGTGCGTGGGAAAAGGCGGGCGGTGGTCAGGCCATTCATTCATCAAGTCATGCCATCATTACTGACCCTTACTTCTAGGTACTGGATACTCTGTATGGGTATTTACCTGATGTATCCATACATTAGGTGGATGTCAGTTGGAGACTGTGCCCTAACTCACCCCTTCAGGTCGTCCATCTTCAACGGTCGCAGGTTTGACAGCCTTTTCTTTGAAGAAGAGAAGAGCGATCCTGGGGATTCCTTTCATCTCCCATTCCTTCGATGATCGCCCCCCCTTGTTTGTCACTTGAGCTCCCATGCATCTTGGGGTAATTTAATCGAGCTCGGGGACCAATCAGGGCTGGCGCAAGGCATCAAAAACGCGGGATTGCCAATTGAAGTAAAGTTCCGCTAAGGCCGCAGTGTGCTGAAAGAGGAATACGGCCCACCTTGCTGCGGTATTTACTCTACTCTCTCCTCGTCCTCGGCTTGGAGCTTGCATTCCAAGGTCAGGTGGTAAAGCTGAGGGTGTTGAACGATGTGGATTCTACTACACTATCAAAATAGGTGGAGATGAAAAGATGTGCCACGACGACATCACGCATGGTCTACCTTCATTGGATCTGCACACTCAAAACCCGACATCATGCTGTGGAAAAGTAAAGTACATCATACTTTATTATCCGTATGCTCCACATTCGCATACGAGACTCCAGTTTCCTCCGCTTTATTGGGGTCGGCTTCGTCGGCTTCGGCGGCTTTCATTTCCACATTCTCCGGCAATGTCCCCAACGCCCGTCCACCGAACAGGAGATCGATCTCTTCCAGGGATTTCTGCTTGGTCTCCTTGAAGAAGAAAAACACTGTCGGGATAGTGATACAGACATCTAGTGGTGATAAAGAATGTGAGTAACTGTTCCCGCTTCTCTGTCCGCGATACTTTATCAGAAAAGCGAACACTTACTGAACAAAATGAAGACCAGGTAGAACCTCCAGTGAATCTTGCCGAAAGCAATCGGCGAAACTTGGTTCCAGATCGTGCTCACCACCCAGTTGCCAAGACTGGTTGCGACAGCGTTTCCTCGACCGCGGATCTGCATCGGCATGACTTCGGCCATGTAGACCCTGCAGAGAATTGTTGTTTAGTCCGGCTGTCCCCAAATCTTTCCCAAAGCAGTGGGGGTGACCATATCGTTTGAAAGATAAGAGATGAAACGTACCAGGCGCATGATCCATAAGAGAAGGAGAAAATCACAGTGATGCAGAAAATGAAAAACACGCCGGCGATGCTGTAACCCGTCCGGGACCCGTCTTCGTTGACCGACGTCAGGGCGGCTTCGCAGATCAGGACGATGGTGACAGCGATCGAGCCGAACAGCATGGGCTTTCGCCGCCCCACTTTGTCGAGCAGGAAAACAATGAAAATGAGGTTACAAACTGGACCAACGCAGTTGTAGATACCAGCGACGAGGATGTTGCGGCTTCCGGTGATGCCGAGGGAATTGTATAGGATGGTTTGGTAGTAGCCGATCACGTTGACAGCGGTCATTTGCGCGAAGGCCTGGACGGCGATCCCATGACTATCGTAGTGCGAACAACTATTATCAGTAACGGCCATCTTGCAGGGGGAGGGTTCAGGTATGAGTCTGTTTCACATACAGCAACCGAGTCCGCCATTGGGGAACCTGGAACATGACAAGCCAGCCCGACACCGTTACAGCCTTCTCGGCTTCGATGGTCGTTCGGATTTCATTGAATTCTGTCTGAATCCATTCGTCGTTTGTGCCGTCATAGTGTAATTTCCGCAGAATCTTCATTCCCTCTTCGTAGCGTTCCTTTTCGACCAAGTATCGAGGGGATTCCGGCATGAAGAACATTCCTACCGCCAGAAGTACGCAAGGAACCGCCTGGAATGCCAGCGGAAACCGCCATTGGAACTCGCTGGTTTCTGGAGCATGAAGCGATCCAAACCCGACCCATCTATCGAAGCATGCAAGTTAGACCTCCACCCAGGAACAAGGACACTACGAGTGAAATGCGCAAGGGAAACATACGTGCTGACGATAAAACCAATCCCGATCATTTGCTGTGACAAGCCGATGATAAAGCCTCGGCTTCGAGGATGAGCGCATTCGGCCTGATAAACTGGAACCGACATCGACAAGAGACCGACAGCCCACCCCGCCAGAATACGGCCAACAAGCATCATGGCCAAGTTCTGGGCAGCGGTCTGAAGGATAGCGCCAACCAGACAGATGAAGGCACCCATTTGAATGGTGAATTTACGGCCGAAGCGATCCATCGTCAGTCCTCCCTGGAGGGCGCCGAAGGCAGCTACGGGTTGACTAGTCAGCGTTTCCTTCTTACTCTCTCCGAAGGCATGTTGCTTGTAGGGAATCCAAGGTAGATATTCACACCTCCACCAGAAAATGTGCTATTAATTGCCCCGATGATGGGGGAAGTCTGGACGGTGTTGAAAAAGGCAAGGAAGTTCTTCGATTCGATCACATCGGTCATAACACCGCTGTCATATCCGAAGAGGAACGACCCTGTGGCCGCAAAGGCAGCCAGGCCGATAGTAAAGCCGCGACCCATGTTGATGACGCTGGAGCAGTAGCAATATCACCTTTGGCAGGCGATGAGCCGATCAGTTCAGGCCAGGGAATGAGGGGCGAGGCAGGGAAAGGACAAGCCAGATATCGGAGGAGTAAAGATGAGGCCGGCGGGGCAGAGAGAGAGAGAGACGGCATTGTCTTAATATATCAAAACAAGTATTTAGCCCGTCTCGTAAGCGAGGCTTGTCTGTTTTAAGGATCAAGTCTAAGGGAGAGTCTGGACATGGAGACACAACCTGATGCAGTGACTGGCGGGTAAACATAGCGAATAGACGGCGTGGAGAAAATCCGGGGACGACCCGCCGGACACTAAAAACCACGCCATCTCTCCCATGGGTCTCGCGATTGGGCCGATGCCCATCGCGACTATTCCTTTTCCTCTGTTGTCAGATTCCAACATACGAAGTCTAAATGAGGCCAAGGCTGCATATATTACTTGGATTTAGCCAGGGCCGGTTAAAAGGGATTATTCCACGTATCGTTGATCGACCGACCAGGGTAGCGTCCAAGCGTCCCGCAGGGTGCAGCCTCTTTGTACCGTGATGAAAACGAATCAACTCTGCGGCCTTGACTGCCAAGTCGGCCCGGTCTGGCCGGCAAAGACATGCATGACCCAGAACTCTTGGACGCCTTGGACTACCAATGTTTTTTCGGCATCTAGCGGTTCTGTCTAGACACGTGGTAGGGATATGAGCGACATGGAAGTCTTACAGCAGCAAATGATCATGGCGAAGTAACTAGGGCCAATGTTGTCCAGGTTCATTCGTCCATGGAACGAGATAACGATTGAGTAGCCAATTGTGAGTCTCTGAGGGCTATTCCACATCACATGACACATCTTCATAGGAACAATTTCAGCCCAGTTCTCAGGAAGAGACTTCATTTGGTTTCGTATGAGTAGAAGGGGTTGGGCCTAAGTTCCCCGTGGGAATCGGCCGGCCATTTAAAGCAAGAACTGAGGTACAGCTTGAGCCTCAGTAGTCATGTCATAAAGGGTCTTGTATAGCAGGTCATCACGTGCACCATGGGACTTGTCCATATATGTACTTGGCCTTCTTCGATGGCGGCCTCTAAACCTGTTCATAGGGCAAGAGATCGAGTTCTCGTTGTCCCAGGGGATCCGTCAGGTCTCACATACATCCCACACGTCGCTTGATTCGTATGTGTTGCCCAGTGGTAAGGGGCAGTATAAGGCTTAGTATTCTCAGCTCCAAAGGACTGCAGTACCCATCTACCTGAGGAAGTAAAACTAGAAAACATATACTGACTTCAGGTACCACCCTAAGCCCAAACCCTTTCATGGAACTACGCCTGGTTGGATCTCTGTCTCAACTAAATACCATTCTGGTTTCTCTCTTTCCTGTGAACGCATCATCTAATAAGGAGAAGAATTGTGTGGAAGCAGTAAAGTAGGGCATAGATCTGCACATGGTTTGTAACCATTAATAAGCTCGGCCATTTCCCAACCCCGAATTAGTCATGCTCTTCATATCCCAAATAGGAAACCAGCCCTAATACAGGTACCAGGTCTACTAGTAATTAAATCGATCGATGAATTTCCAATTCCTTTGCACACCATAGCATACAGCCACATATCCTAGTGTGACAGTATATCCGAACCCCTACTATGCCCCAGGCCAACGCTGCCCTCCCCGCCGGGTCCCTCATTCTCGTGACTGGTGCAAATGGCTTCATAGCCTCCCATATCGTTGATCAATTTCTCCAACGTGGGTACAGAGTACGCGGAACAGTTCGATCCAGGAAACCTTGGCTAGATGACTACTTTACCACCAGGCACGGCGCCGGTCAATTTGAGTCAGCTCTGCTACCCGATCTGAGGAACGTGGATGTGCTGGATAGATTATTGGATGGAGTTGCAGGTGTCGTGCATGTGGTATCATCACTCCCTCGAGGCTGAAGTCTATCAGTGCTGAATGAACACCAGGCATCCGATGTCTCCATGAGTCCTGACCCAGAAATTATAACCAAATCCGTCGCCTCAACCTTGAGTGTTCTTGAAGTGGCAGAGAGGCACGATAGCGTGACTCAAGTCGTTCTGACTTCTTCAGCTTTTGCCGCTTCATTCCTACAGCCTGGTCAGCCTGGTGTTAATATCGACTCCAGTAAGTTGTGGATAATCTAACACGACAATAGAGTCTCATGTCTCTAGGTACATGGAATGACGGTGCCGTAAAAAGCGCACGGGACCCCAGTGTTCCTGAAGCCCAGAAACCAATCCTCGTGTACGCTGCGTCCAAGACAGAATCAGAACGAGAGGCCTGGAAGTGGGTTAAGCAGAACAACCCTGGCTTTGATTTTAACACCGTCCTTCCGGCAATGGTCGTAAGTTTAGCCCAAGCCCTATTACACTTTTGATTGACTTACGGCTTCTATAGTTTGGCAAAATACTGCATCCCGAGATAGGCGGCTCCACCATGGCTCTCGTCCGTAACCTCTTAGCTGGGAACCGGGCTGGTATCGACGGTGTTCCACCACGTGAGTTGGGTTTTATCTTCCATTTGAAGCATTGGCTGAGCACAGGATCCTAGAATGGTTCGTCGACGTCGAAGACACAGCCCGTCTACACGTTGCCGCTCTTCTTGATGGAAGGGTGAAATCAGAACGTCTTTTCGCTTTCGCAACTCCGTATACCTGGACGGATATCGTGGATATTCTGCGCAAGGCCTTTCCCTTGAATAGTAGTATTCCTCAAGCCCCGGAGAATGAGGGGCGGGATTTCATTCAGGTTGGTCCTTCTGTCAGGGCAGAGAGTCTGATTAAGGAGTTCTGGGGCCGTGATGGATGGACAAGCTTGAGAGAAAGTATCCTTGGCGGAACTGGGGACCTTGAAGGGTTTAAGGGGTAGTGGTATTGTGCTTGCTCATATGGGCAATGTGCACAGCGTTGCATTCCTGCTTAATGTTTGGTGTGGAGTATATATCGTCAACAGGAGAAGCCATGTAGTAAGTACTAGATTCTAAAATCATAGAACGAAAAGACTTAATAGATCGAGTAACTCTCTAGCTTTTGTTTTGTTTTGTTCTATTCATTTATTTTAGGTTTTTTTTTTTTTTTTTTTTTTTTTTTTTTTTTTTTTTTTTTTTTTTTTTTTTTTTTTTTTTTCTCCCCGGGCTTATCTGATTATCTGATGATTGATGATCAGCCAAGTGCTCTGCCAAGTGCTCCGCCACCTCCGTCGCTATTTGCCGAGCAAAAATTCTCTGTTCCAAGAAAAAAGAAAAAAAATTAAACTGACTTAAATTTCAGATACTATATTACGCTAGCGTGATCCTTTTGAGCAGTGTTGAGAGCTACCATGGAATGTTCCGATCCCGGGCCGACCAAACCTAGTCCGAGCTGTTAGGTACGCTATGATGTAGTACAAATCAGTATATCCACCCGATTCTCATTTTTTTTGGTTTGTTCCTGCTCATCATCCAACTTCATCCACACCTAATCATACCACACAATGGCATGGCTGAGTCGTTCCGACACTATGCCACAGGGTTCTCCCCCATCATCCCCTGCACTTTCAAGCTCTCATCAGTCCATACGCCCGAGAAGACCCAGTCTGGAGCCCGAGGGCGAGATCCTGTCTACCCGCGGTCAACGTTTAGCCAGTCTCATTCGCAGACGTTCTTTCACCCAGAGCCCTGAACCCTGGGAGGATAGCTTTCGGCATGATGAGCTGCCACCATGGGAACGGGCAAAGAAGTTAATTGGGGATGTCAAGTCCGTCTATAATTGGTATGTCATTGGCCATGGTCCATGAACATGTCTGCTTTTGTAGGCGGTGCTTGGAGGGACAGGATAGCTAATGGAAATACGGTCTCTAGGCAATTGTACTATAGAAACCCCGACTCGTTGAAAGGAATGGGGAAAAAGCTGTGGGTAACTCCTTTCTCTCAATTGAGACCACTAACCTAACATCCGCAGACGTGAATACTATGAGCGGAACAATGATCTCATCGCACAATACGTATACATTGACCGGCTACTTGACTCATCATTGCCGCATCGCCTCATCGGCGATTATCACCAAGGTCACGATGTCATACCGGAGATCAACTCCGAGAATTCTGGAAACGGCCACGTACCTGACAACAGCCTGTTTGCTGCTGCCGAAGGCAACGGAGAGCCACAACAAAAGCAAGACCGAATCAAACGGACGCCGCGCAACCTCTATCGGATCCCAGATGAGAGCACGCCACTTTTACCTCAGGACGGAAATGAAAGTGCCCCGTCCCTATCAGATGGCGGGCCGAAAGACGACTTCGTGGATAGCGGAGCCCGTATTGTCACCATTGCCATCTACGTGAACTTCATCGCCAATGTGGTCTTGCTAGCTGCGAAAATAGTCGTCATGTCCATGACAAACTCCCTGTCAGTTCTGGCCAGTTTGGTGGACGGCGCATTGGACTTCCTGAGCACTGCCATTGTCTGGGTGACGACGACCCTCATTCAGAAGGATGACCGCTATCAATACCCTATCAGCAGGCGCCGATTGGAGCCCCTGAGCGTGTTGGTCTTCGCCGTCGTGATGATGACCTCCTTTGTCCAGGTGGCTATCACGTCCTTCACTCGGCTGATGTCCAACGATACAACCCTAGTCAACTTAACGATCCCTTCGATTGCGGTGATGGCTAGCACCGTAGTAGTGAAACTTGCATGCTGGTTCTGGTGTCGGCTAATCAAAAACTCGAGTGTCCAGGCCCTGGCACAAGACGCTGAAACGGACGTCGTGTTCAACTTGTTCAGTATTCTCTTCCCTCTGAGTACGTGCAACCCCTTTACCAATCTCCCCCCAAGGATAGTAGAAAAACGAACTAAACCTTGCTCCTCCAGTCGGCTCCTTCACCAAACTATGGTGGGTCGATCCGCTAGGCGGTCTCCTCCTTTCAGTGTACATCATCTGGAACTGGGGCGGCACGGCAGGCGAGCACATTCGCCATCTCACAGGAGCGGCTGCATCTCCCATCGACCAGAGCGTCCTACTTTACATGACCATGCGGTTCTCGAAAGCCATCCTCAAGATCCAGAACCTGAGGGCATATTATGCCGGCGACCTCTTGAACGTCGAAGTAGACATCATCCTGGAAGGGAAGACCCGGCTGCGCGACGCCCACGACATCGGCGAGAGTCTGCAGTACATGATCGAGAGTGTGCCGACGGTCGACCGCGCCTTCGTGCACATGGATTATGATCCGTGGAACATCCCCACCCACCTGAACCAGCAGGCTCATTAGTTCACCATAGAAAACAGACTATAATACTTAGTAGTAATTCATAGAAGAAGACTTGCTGTGTATTCAATATTTACATAGTTAACATACATCGAAGCTGAGTCATCCCCACCATTAAGCCCCACGTGACTTCGCGTCCAGCGCGTCCAACGCGGGTAGTAATCCGATCTCAAATTTCCTGACGGTATGTAAGTAACTTGCGAAAGAACCCCAGAAAAAAAAAAAAAAAAAAAAGACCAGAAGCGGTGTTGCTGTAACGTAGCACAGTGACATTGGGCTTCCCAAACCAGCCGCACATGACACTATCAGTCCGACGTCAACCATGGAAGGGCAATTGAGAGCTTTAAATATCTGTTTCGGGATTGGCTCTGGCGGCTACTCCTTGCTTAGAGGCCCTCGCATCTGGGGAATATCCGAATACCCGCTTGGGTTAGTGAGAGAGAGTCATTCATCCTAACCAGGGTTGAGGTGGTGGTGTGGTGAATTCCGGAGGTGTATGATAAACCATCGTATACCGGTGTACCTGTAGTTGTTACTGTACACCTGAACCGCGATGGTGTATCAACCCCGCGGTTTGGTATTGCTGGTGATATGAAGGTGATTTGTCTACAAAGTGTGTTTGGAAAAGGCGATGTAGATTTTATTTCCTCGAAAGGACGTTTTATATTCATGTATAATTTAAGTAGAGAATAGAGAATAGTAGTGTTTAAATAAAAAAAATTATAAAATAAGCTCGAAATTCCAGAAAGTTGGACCCTCGTGCTCCGGGCGGAGCTAAACTGTAACGCCTGCACGGGTGCGTCCGCGTCCACATCGCGACGCGATTAGATGAAGCGCTTTTTTCCCACTCACCTTGGGGTCTCTTTTCCGCTCCAGATCACTAGCCCCCCCAGAACGTCAAACGGGACTAGTGCTGGATTTCTTATATTCCTGGTTGTTTTCCTGCTTCTGTCTTGCAATTGTCTTCTCTAGCCCTCATGCTTATATCCTGACTTATCAACTACACAATGTCTGACCCGGAGTCTTCTGTTGCGCCATGCTCATCGTCTCCGCCAACAGCCCAGGCGTCCGAGTCCACAGCTGCTCTCAATTATGCCTTCCTCGTACACTCGCAGAAAACCCTAACGCAGAACCTTCCCCCGCGTGTCGATAACAAGTTACTTGCACGGCAGAAGCGTCGCCGCACAAGGTATATGAAACGGAACGGCCCCCATTGATATACCTAGCTAACGCGTTCTTATTCTGAACCAACAGCCCTGAAGACCATGCAGTTCTGGAGGCAGAGTATCAACGGAATCCAAAGCCAGATAAGACGGCGCGGGCCAGTATAGTCAGTCGCGTGTCATTGGGTGAAAAGGAAGTCCAAGTACGTCTCTTGGATAAGGTTGAATGATTTAGCACTCCTTTGTTCTGACTGTTGCTCTTTAACGGCATAGATATGGTTTCAGAACCGTCGCCAGAATGATCGTCGGAAGTCGAAACCCCTCCAGCCTCATGAACTGCTGGCCCCTCGGTCCGACGCGTCGAAACAGAGTTTCAGCGATGAGAGTGTACCTGCGGAACCAGGCTCTTCTAGTGGGACGGAGCAGTATGACGACCCTAGAAATGAGAACAATGTGGTGACACGGGTCTCGGAGAACGACTCTTTAACATCGGATATGGTTCGTGGAAGCCAAGAGGAACCCGAGCAGCCCGTCTTGAGTTCCCAGACGAGCGTAGCAACATCAGTAGCCCCAGAAAACAAGGAAGGGGTACAAGAGAACTCGCGGTCTGAATTCGAATTGAACCAAGAACATGCGAGCGCACCAACCGATACACCACACCAGAACTCTGCTAAAAGGAAGCGGTCGTTCACGGACCTTAGACAAGGAAGATCAGAAGCACAGCAACCCTTAACACCATATGGAATGCAGAGCATAAGATCACCACCGTCTCTGCGTATATCCTTATCGTTTGATGGAGAAGCTATGGTGAGAAAGGAAGGCGAGTTGACTCCATCCCCGCCCAAAGGACGCAACGCGCTCCGAATTGCCATGTCTTCAGACGGAAAAGCCGTGATCCGTGCCGATGGGGAACCATCACCATCCAAAAACCGCATTTCAATGTTTCCAACCCGGACCCCTCGATTCTCGGGACTTCGGAGAAGCAATAGTGCAGTGGTTCTGGGAACACCTAGAGGATCTATCGAAAAGGAAAGAATCTTTGGACGATCACGCGACCCTCGGAATTGGGAATCTGTTTTCGACACTGATGCCCGGAGTGCATTGTCCACCCCATCCAGCTCACAAAGTGGAACACATACAGGATCCCCTGGATTCTTCCGCTCTGGCGGTCCTCGTTCGTTGACACGAAGCCTATCGGCAAAGTATAAGAACACTGCGACATTCAACTCCTCTGACCATCTTAACACACCCGTCCCTCAAGCTACAAGGGAAAAGAGGAGAAAATTATCGCGCGCGGTGTCGTCGTTGGGCCGTCTCGAGTCTGGTCTCGAAATGACCAACGATAAGAACACCTCTTACTCAGCAAAACTATCGAAGAGCATGGCAGGCAAAGGCAATGGAGAAGTAGAGTGCGGTGATTCAGACAAGGAGAACTGGATCCCCGGGACCCAAACTTCTCGTGTCCGCCGACGAGCGGCTTCTCAACATCATTCGTCCCGTCCCGTTCTGAGAGACGCTAACGGGAAGGATGGAAAAGTCAACAAGGACCTATCTGCCAGACGCTCTCGGCTCTCGCAAGCGTCACAGCGCAAAGCAAACGAGAAAGCTTTGCCAACAATTGATACAGAAGTGTCCACATTCATGGCTGGTGGGGGTGGTTCCAGTCAGGAAGAAGACCTCGATTGCATCCAGGGCCTGTTGTCCCTGAGCCAAGGTGCATGGCGATAGGAACAGAGATACCCGTTTCCTCGTGCCATGGCCTATTTCCTTTGTTAAATTTCCTTTGTTTCATACTCATTTCCTTTGTAGTTATGTTCAAGTTGCGAGCGCCAGCAAGCGGTGACTTCATGTATGATCTGTGATGCTCAACCTGTGATGATCGAACTGCCCCTTTCTTTGCCCAGCCATTCATTTCTTCAAGGGATATGATATCGTCCCTGACGGCTGTGGCACCACTACCTACCAAATATTGATGACTAGACCCTGTCGAATATTCAGATATCCAAATGTAATTCCAGGCTAATAGAGCGATTGAAATGAACGACAAAAATCAAGGATATCATATAATGCAAGCACTGCGGACTACCGGTAGTAAAAACAAAATAGTAATAACTAAAGGTGATAATGACCTCGGCGGCAACAGGAGCCAACGGCAAGTGGCACGTGGCCCGAGCTCAGTCCCATCTAAATAAATAAATGTACTTATCTGCAGGTCCGCTTTTCTGCTCCACGTCGGTTTGATGTTCAGGCGATCTCAGCTGCACTTGTATACGAGTCGGTGTTTTTCAGCTTTGGTAAGTAAACAGTCTCTTTATTTACATCTTTTACTTCATATAAAACCTATTTGTGAGGGTGTGCGCCACTTGCATCATGTCTCTTCACTGGCATGGATTGTCGGAATGCTGTCTATATCAACGATGTAGATCAGCCACCCCACTTTCCTTACGGGGTATATCCATTTTTGTATGCTTTTTGCCTTGGAGCGTGTTTCTACCTTCATTCTCCCGCCACAAGCTTGGATTCTCCTGACTCCGTCATCATCAATCCATAAATTGGTGGCGGGCAGACAATTCCTGTGAAGCATGGACTAAGCAAGAGCATGAGTCAGGAATATCTTCATGGTTATTTGATATTCTATCGGGGCATGACTACTTCGAAGCGTTTCATGACACCTACTACTCACATAACGCTAACCAGGAGACGGTGCAGAAACTCTCTCGTACCTGTACTACCAAATCAGACAATATAGTATACCCACTGTCGCTGCTGCCTCAGAAATCCAACCCTGTATTCTCGGATATCAACATGAGTAAAAGCCCACATGTAGCCATTATTGGTGCAGGGTTTTCTGGCCTGAGATGTGCAGATATTCTTGTACAAAATGGCGCGCGAGTGACAATCTTTGAAGCTAGAAATCGTGTCGGAGGGAGGGTATGTGCGCACTAAAGACAAAACTTGAGTAGTAATAGGTCGATATACTAATACCGAGCAGGTTCACCAAAGCAAGGTCGGGGATCGTTTAATAGATCTGTAAGTGCATTGCTTTTATAATTTCATCAGATTGCTTGAGACTACTCATGCTGATGATCCGAAGCGGCCCAAACTGGATCCATGGCACTGGTACAAATCCAATAGCGACCATTGCAGAAACGACGAAGACGACCATGGAAGATTTCGAGGGAAATCAAGCATTCATCTCTATGGATGGAAGCCCTATTGACGACAACACAGCTACGAAAATCTCGGAATTTGTGTGGATGACCATTGACAAAGCATTCAAGTACAGTAACGCTCATAAAGATTCTATCCCACCGGAACGGAGTCTGTTCGACTTCTTCCTAGACCAAGTCGAGAAAGCAAACCTTACTCCAAAAGAGAAAAAATGGTGTATTGAGACCTGCAGACAATGGGGAGCGTACGTCGGTGACCCAATCGAAAGACAAAGTCTGAAGTTCTTTTGCCTGGAAGAATGTATAGATGGCAGTACGCTCTCCTCACCGTCATCACATACAGTACCTTCGACTGACTCTCAATACCAGGCAACTACTTTGTAGCATCCACGTACAAAGACATACTCGCCCACGTCTCGAGGGCCGCCCTGCAGCACGCCGATATCCGATTCAACCAACCAATCACCCACATCAACTCCAACGTCCAACCAGACCCAAATGCACCTCACAAAACAACGTTAACAACCGCCACAGGCGAAACCTATACGTTCGATGAAGTGGTAGTAACATGTCCACTGGGATGGCTAAAGCACAACAAATCCGCATTCATCCCAGAGCTCCCTGCCCGTCTCGTCCAAGCAATCGACAACATCTCCTACGGCCGCTTAGAAAAGGTTTACATCACATTCCCGCGGGCCTTCTGGCACAAGAATCCCAATGACCTGACCACCAGTGGAGCCACAAGTTATAGCGCCTATGAGCGTCCAATCTTCACTCAATTCCTCGATCCCACATACACAAAAGGACCCGAGGGCATCCTCTGGAACCAAGAATGCCTATCTCTAGCCGCTCTCCCCGCGGACTGCGCTCATCCAACTCTTCTCTTCTACACTTACGGGCCCTGTGCTACATATATAGTATCTAAAGTGGCCAACCTCAACCCCTCGTCTCAGGAATACTACGACTTCCTCGATGACTTCCTCCGCCCATTCTACTCCCGTCTGCATGGGTATTCAGAGTCATCGCCCGATTGTAAACCGCTCGCCGTAATGGCAACCCAGTGGCAGAATGATCCCTACGCTGGGAATGGGTCGTATTGCAACTTTCAGGTTGGGCTCAGTGAGGGCGATCGAGATATCGAGGTTCTGCGAGCGGGACTCGGGCCGCATCGTGGGGTGTGGTTTGCTGGAGAGCATACGGCGCCGTTCGTTGCGCTTGGGACGACGACCGGGGCGTACTGGAGTGGTGAGCGTGCTGCTGGACAAATCTGCCAATTATATGGTCTTGGTAAGTTGGGGCTAGGCTTGGAAAGGGATGATTCTTTACCTTCTGCCAGTGGGGAAAGGGTTGTGGCTTCCGTGGACGGAGATGTTGAGATATAAGGTGAACATCACTCTTACCTGATCTGTCGATACTCGTAGGTGGATATAGTGGTTTTGCTGCTTTTCGAGCGAAGATGTAGATGGTTTCGAAATGAACCAGCATATGTATGTACGATTGCCATTGAACAGTCTGCTCTATTTACACAATCAAGGGACACCGCTTGCAATTTGACCCATGGTGTAAAATATTGTTCCAACAAAATGAAAAGCAACAGGGGAATCACAACAATGACGCTTAAACCTCGCTTGATAGATGAGAAAACAGACTAATAAGATAACACCCCCGGATGATAAGCCACCCGTACAGAATCATAATGCCTTGCGCCCTGGTGCAACCCACAATATGGAACGATTCCACAAAGAGCATCAACGAACCTGCGCGCTCTCCATCTCCACATATCCATTTAGTGAGGCACATGAATCGAAAACAATAGACAAGAGTTAAAGACAGGAAAGGGTATTGCGACACCGACGATGAGCGCCAGAACAAAGAGCAAAGAACAGTTACAATCAGGAGAAGTTCCAGCAAATCAAAAGAATATAATACAGCGCCGCATGATAATATTCCCGGGAACCGGGATAAGACTGTTGAAGTAGAGGCTGCCTCGAGAGAAAAGGAACTGGGGCGCGGGACTCAAGAGCGTCGCCGGTTATATCAATAGCACAATCCTTCACATCAGGAAGTCGAGCTATAAGGTACGTCGGAGCAACAGCTGGTGGAGATAAAACTTAACGTTGAGACAATATACCATCGGTTAAAAGCCGAAGCACAGCCCACAAAATTGCTTTGTTTAGCGTATGTTGCTTGATCATTTGTTAGAGGTTGCGGAGGAAGTAGTCGTAGTCAACATATCAATCTTCCCAAATCGTCTCTAAGTCGAGATCTTGACGACGTTCGGCCCCACAAACGCTCCACCGTTTCCGCTTATCAGTCCTAAGACCGTAGCCCCCTGATACGGTTCGCATGTTCATCAGGGAGCTTGAAGGGCCTGACGCGTCTGACGCCCCTCGTCGACGATTTCCGCTTGTCGCAGCATCCGCTTCATCTGCTCTATCAGCTGCAGCTTTCAAAGCAGCGATCCGATCAGCTTCAATAGCCGCAGCTTCGGCATCGGGAATGTCCGGGATGGTCTCTAAAGATGAAATGCTCGGGCTCCGCGAGCGAATGCTTGTTGGCGTTGAGGGCATTGATGAAGCAGAAGATGTTGAATAACTAGGAAAGGATTCGTTGAATCTTGAGTTGAGAATTATCGGAGATGAGTGTGCGGAAGAGGGGCTGCTGGCCGACTGAAAAGTGGAATTCATAGGGTTGAAATGGAGCGGGGATGACGGTCGTCGGCGGGTCATTCGGGGAAAAGTGTTGGACAACACAGGTGAGGCCGTACGAGGCTCTCCCTGGATTGAAGAGGAGGATGGCATCGCGGTGTCCAGCTCAACATACTCTAAAATGGGCTCGGAAATGTTCAAGGGTACCATTCTAGACTCAAGGCTGTCCCCCACTGGGGCTTGAAATGGTAGATAGCGTTTCACGGCATTCTCCGGTGAACTTGTTGGTGCCTCGCGACCATGAACGAAGATATACCTGCCCCGTGAGTCCAGCCCCGGGGTGGAGTGAGCGCGCGTCATAGGAGGTAGGCCCGATACCTCAGCCAGAGATCGAGACCGAAAATGGGAACGGGCGAAGGGCGAGCGACTCGGAGAAGGGGCCGGGGGACGTGGCAGAGTGATCATGACGTCGTTCTTGCGGTTGTCAGAGGACCCCGGCGCTGTCGGCTTGGGAGAGTCCACCGATTCCACGGGACTAGGGGGTAGTATTATCCCCTCTGGGGATAAATAGCGAGACGTTTCCATATCCGTCATCGATTCGTTAGTCGGGTTAAATCGGCCTCATGCTGGTTGGAGGGGGGGGTGTATGGGGGAGGTGCAAGAAACAGGGGATAGGGGGGAGGGAAGGGAGTAAAGTTAAGTGGTGAAGTCAAGACTTCGAAGTCGCGGACTTGAAAAAGAGAGCAGGAGGAAAGAGGGCGCGGGTGATGGGAAAGGAAAGGCCGCCGCGACCAATGAATTCGCGCACGCCAAGCCACAAGAGGTTTAGTTCTCTCCGCGCTCCACCGCCTCCAATTTGTATATCAGAGGAAACATTTTGAATCCCTTCATGTCGTACGCGGACTGAAATTTATATTCATATCAAGTGTCATTCTCTTCTTCTTCTCTCTCACTTCGTGCCAAAAAACAAAACCTAAAAAACCAAACTGAAAGGAAATGAGATTTAACAAGTCACACCCTGGTCTGAGATACTCCCGAGTCCCAAGGTGTTCCTTTTTTTCTCCGCGCACCCCCAACATGCACCTGACCGCATCATGTCCAAGCTCATGACCACGTACCGTTGTGATTGACTTCTGCTACTCCAACCCTTCGGTTGCTATATTGGCAATTTTCTCATATATTCCTTCATATTTGAATCCCTCATGCTGTTCGTATACCCCACTTTTATTCTTCTCTCTGCTGTCGAATACCGGAGTCAACATCTGTGTAGCAAGAGAGGTCATTGGCATTCAACCGACGGATTTAAGGGCCGTAACAAGTGCATATCTCAATAAGCAAATTCAAAATCGGTGTATCACGCGGTGGGTACTGCTTCCATCTGGACACATGCATCTAGGCAATGCCATTTGTTTTACGCCGTTTGGTCTGCATCAATAAACCACTCATTGAAATGCATGTGTGCCTTGGAATCCATATGTAAGTGGTAGAAATATTGTGGAGTGGACGTAGTACGTAGATACCCTCGGGAATGTTGTTTAACAAGAACTGGAGCATCATGATCCTTGTTTTAGCATATGGCCCCCTTTCTTATTAAGCTAACGGACAAAGGTATAGACACATTTGCTGGACGGAACGTATAGAAAAAATGAAGGAATGAAAGGGTAATGAGAGATAGAATAGCAGCAGCGAAACAGATGATCCAAAGAGGAGCTTCCTATATATCACTATCCTGTGACGTACACAAGGGATTACTAGGTTTATTGAGGGTATTAGGCAGGAAAAAGAAAAGGAAAAGGGAAAGAGAAAGGAAAAGAAAGAAGAAAGAGAAGAAAGATGTTCCCATCTTCAAGGTACGTTGTCTCACTGGTGATCGTGTTCCTCGTCCTTGCAAAGAGTTGAGGCCTCAGGTTCCTCGTCTCGCACTGCCACATAAACTTCTCGCACAATATCGCCTTGATGGCCTTTAAGTGCCCATTTTCCAATTCCATCGTCTGGAGAGGCTCGCCTAACACCACGACCTCCACCTCCAACGATCAGGTTCCCGGGGCGGTAGTTCTCATCCATATGCATTCGACGAATTGCAGATACATGGATTTGGGCATTATTTGGAATGTCACGAACCTCTCCGCACGGAAGCGGCCACCGGATCGGTTTCCATGACCCATCTTTCTGCAAATCCATTCGACGGAATGGGAGGTACTCCATCATTCGCCATGTGAGAACCGATAGAGGTGGTAGGCCATTGCCGAGTTGCAGACAGTCATGTATTGGGGCCAAACAGGATTCTTTGAGCGGCGTCAGAAATGTGGATCCGGAATCGTTCGTTGCTTGTATCCCATCCCCGTAAACGGCGGCGACATGGGTTGCCAGTTGCTGACTTGCAATTGGCCTCAACGGATGGCCATCTTGGTACGCACTGGTATTCAGGTCCCAGTGCATGTTCTCGCGAATGGGGGAGTAATCCTCATCATACTCTTCTAGACATTGAAAGTGCTCCATTTTCGCAGGATCAAATTGGAGCCCAGCGCGCCGGGCCTCTTGAACCATCCAAACCAATGGTGCGTGGCTGAGTGGCCATTCGTCCGGCTCTTGTTGCCATCCTCCACCAATATCTGCGTGACCTCCCGGAAACCATACTTCCTGAATGTCTTGCGGACTATCCTCATCCTCATCGTAATTTTCCGCCCCAATATGTTCGTGTGGCACTTGGAGCGAAATGTCCGAGTAGTCACTGTTTATGGATGCTCTATCATCTGTGGGTGCTGTTGCCCCGGGAACAGCCAGGCTGAGCTTTCTCTGGGAGGGTTGTGGCCGTGCACGGTATCGATTATTTGCGCTGTATACACTCTGGTTCGAGCTTCGCACACTGCGGTACATAGATTCGGTCTCCCCGTGCCTCTGCTGATTGGGGTCATCCCCATTATCCCCTCCATTGATGACGATTTCGGGGACATCATCAGATTTCTCTGGAGCATGGTGCAGTCGGGGTAGATGACGTTTCCAGTGGGAGGACTTTTTTTCCTCACAGCATGGCCTGACCTCAGAAATCAGGTCCTGCCGAAACTTGGCACGTCGCTCATCGATCCCCACCGCATGTCGAATGACCTTGGCCGAGCTGCGGGCAGTATATGGGAACTTGCTTCGTTGCATCCACGCGGATTCAAACGCAGGCACACTATTGACAGTATCAAACAGTCCCATGAACTTAATTCTCGTAATTGGTCGACTGAATGTCTCCCGGAAGGCCTTCATATACTGGAACAGTTTCTCCCTTTCAGCGGTATCTCCTTTGGTGTTACGTCTTTTCTGCCATTTGGCAAAGGTCTTCCATGCAAATCGGATGAGCTCCTCGTTGCCAGCCTCGAGCAAGCCAATAAAGTCCAACATTTCTGCAAGGAAGCGAGCAATATAGGAGCCTCGACTGAAGCCTATGAAGTAAATCTCATCTCCGGGTGCATAATAACGCATGAGGAACTTGTATCCGCCCATGACATGGTCAGCGAAGGAGGACCCGACGGCGGAGTCCTTTGCTTTCAGATATGCGGACCTAATCCGATGGAAGCGGCCAGAGCTGGACAGGGACTTGGAAGTTACATAAGTTCCAATTCCTGGCTGGTAATAGTGAAATTGATGACTCTTGCTGCGATCAAGCATCTGGTTAGAGCATTAGTGTCAGACCAGGACATTGGCTTACGGTCTACATGGAACCTTCTCGATCCTCTGTGTTGGGCCAACTTACTCGAAATATCTTCAGAACATTACTGTCTGACTTATCCCCGCAAAATTTATTTCCAGTGCCATCGAAACACAGAACAAATTGCTTTGGCACACGGGCCGGTCCTAAAACTGCTGCATCCATGTTGGTTGCTCAAAAAAGGAATAGGCAGTATAGCTCAAGGCAAGTCTTGCCAGAGCAGTCAACACGCTTGGATATTCTGGGTGGGAAGATGTGGATATAGATATATTCGCCGATGACGGTTACTCGCAAGCACATGCGACTAATACCGAAAGTATGTCCCTTAGGCCCTAAGGATGTGAACGAGCCTGGGCGCGGAAGGATGGAGCGTAAAGAGGACGCTCCCTGTTTTAGAGCCCGCTGTCTGCATCACAGCCTTGGATTCGACCAAACGAGACGTCGATGTTAAGCCTCCTGAGTGGAGCAAGAAGGTGGTTGGTCAAAATGCACGATTCGACACATTCCTCAGCTTGCACCAACCCTTACAAGGCTTGTAATGGTGTAAAAATTTTTCTTTTTCTCTGGGCCATTGCGCACCACATGCCTTTCTCTTCTTTTCCCTTTCTTTTTACTTTTTTAGTGTCCCTTTTCTTCTCCTCCCGTTTTCCTAAGTTAGATTGTTTGTCCCGAGTGGATCTTTTGTCGGCTATGGTGTGTCTGACGGGATGTCAGCTGCAGCAGAAGCCAATGATCAGCAATGACGGGGTTCTCTCAAGATGCAATGCTCTGAGAAGGGCAAAGCAAAAAAAAAGAAAAAAAAAAAAAAAAAAAGAGGAGAGGGGGTGGATAATCTTAGAGAAGTGATCGTCTCTTTGCACGTCGGCGACCTACCATCAAATGAGATAGCCCAGGCTCAGCCAATCTCGGGGTATGGGAGCTGTGGTGGATTGCCAAAGCCATGGCCAATGCGGTTCGTTGATCGAAAATTTGGAATTGATTACGGAACAGTTCTCGTATGTGACCCGTACGCCAGGGACGATCCTTTCCAGCCATCTCGTTCGGTGGGGATTCGTGGATGGCGGTTCGCCTTTAGCGCATACTTTGCGAACTCCGTATACATTATGTTACATAGATACGAACCTCGCAATACGCAGGCCATATCTGAGTCATTAAGACACTCCCACGGTGTTTCACCGAATCATGTCTGTCCAGGGTTTATGATTCTCCCCCGAGCGTTCCTATTGGAGCAGGGGAGGCCACCTCGACTTCCTGTGTATACCGAGTAACTGGTTAGCCGAAGCAAGGGGTTGAGCGAGCAAAGCAATCTTGGTGGGTTCGCTCTGTAGGGCGGACAAGAGAGGGGTGGAAAGGGGGAATTTTCGGGGAAGAAGGGAGGAAGAAAGAGAAAAGTGAGAGATGCTAAGCAAATAAAACACAACCTTGTCATTTTCGATACTGAGACAGTACAATCATTGGACTGGGGTTCTCCATCACAGTCTCTAGTCGATGGAGCATACCACGGAAAGCTGAAACTTTGTACGGAGTCGCTTAAGTGGGAACTTGTTTCTTGGTGTGTGGGGAATTTCAGGGCCCCAGCCGTCAGGTTCCGCCACGAACCATTCGGCAACACCCGGTCGGCTCCAATGGAATTGGTCTCTTAGCCCCTATGCCGGCATTCAGCTTGCGTCTGTCAACTCACTCGGCCTACGGAAAAGTCAGAAAAAGCAACTTCAAAGTCTTGATTTCATCGACCTTGGAGCACGTATGTATATCCTTGAGACATGAAATGACTACGTATACCCTTGGCCGTAGTACAAGGAGACCAGCACTACATATATCACCCCTGCAGTAACCTTAATCAACCATACCAATTTCACACCCTTGCACAGATTTATTCGCACTGCTGATTTTTTGGAAAGTACTTTTGGCATACGGTCCCCTGCGATTCATTTATTTCGTTGCTTCCTCTTGTCTATCAAGTATTGAGTGCTTTTGCAACATCAGGCCGCAAGGAATTACCTAAATAATCCCTCAAGGGACGAAGATTGGCTATCGACTG